GAAACATACGTAGACTGCAAACATTCTATGACAAATGTCTTCAAATTATTACTCCAGTATAGTGAAACAACTAAATGATCACTGTTGAGGCTAGCGACGTGTTATCGCGGGAGAATGGTAAAACGGTTTATGAGGCTATATACCTTCATCGATTAACGAGACTTGAACATGTATTACCCATTTCCAAGTAACCAACCCTTAACTCAAATTAAAAGGTTAAATGGAGTAGAGATGGATTGAAATTAAACTGATGGCGGCCAAAACAATGCACGAGATCATTCCATGAAGTCAGTGATTGTCAGTTTGAGCCATCATAGTTGGTAGATTCACTCTATCTAGCTTTGGTTTATTTGAACTGTAGATGGAAACGTTGTGTAACACGATTCAGAATCAATGGAGTAGTAGTGTAGATTCATTCACTCTTCCTTCCTCTAAATCTTGACTTCCTGTATTCCTTCAGATATCTACCTTTTTGAAACCATGTGCTCAATGTTTAGTCTTCTTCATTATCATTGTTAATGCATTATTTCCAGTCACTTGTTAATCATTTTATTAATTTTATCTCATTCTGTTGATGTGTTCTGGTAACATTTGTGTTAAGCTCTGTCTTGATTAGGATTCATAAACTGAAATGGAATTTATAACTGTAACCTACTGGTTGACAGTTTAGTGCTCAAAATATTAATCATTGTTCACCAAATTTAACTCTTAGGTATATATTTACTTAATTCATTAAGTCAATTTTGAATTACTTCTACTTGGGTTTTATTCACTTCAAGATCTGAACAAATATTAACTAAGAAGAAGAATTAAATAATTTATTCTACAAAATAGTTATTTTTTAAATTATTCAGGAACATAGAAGTTAAGTGAATTAACAAAATATAATCGGATTATTATAAATTAATGAATAAACTATTTATATGTTTAATTTATTATGACTGAGTTATTGATATTTTATTATACTCAAATTACTTAACGTCGGCACATTGGTACTTTTATAATGTCCGCCTTGTAAATAACATGTTAGTCAAGCATTGCAATTTTGATGGATAAATAAATATCAATTTTCCAATGTGATTTATGCTTTTCATACATAGGAGTATTGTATTGTGCAATTTACTTTTTTCTACATATTCATAGTTCTAAATTTTCGGAATAGAATATGGAATTTCTTTAATAAACGTAATGAAGCAGACATAGAATCATAAATTTGAAAATAAAGTTGGTTTTGACCCCTACTTCCTATATTAAGAAAATGAAATATGAATTATTTATTCACATGAGTTAAAGCGATCAGTTTGTTACACTAATCATATATATGACTGATAAAATCAAAGAAAAAGAGAAAACAACACTACTAGAGAGCAGAGTGAAGCAAGATGGATGGAATTTGGTCATGAGTGGGCGTATGATGTAATATGGGTGGGTGGGTATGTACGTAAGTGTACGTTACAAAAGGTCGGTATGAACTAGAAACCATACATGCATACATATGCATACGCGCATAAAGTATCGCGTACGTGACACAAACGACCACTATTATTACATCTTTTTTTCCAAAATTTTCTCAAACATTTGTATAAAAATAACAACAACACAATTTTATTCCGTCTGAAATACAAATATTCAATCATTCAAAAAGTGGACTATAAAAATAAAAAGTACATGTGTGTATATGTAGGTGTAGGTGTATTTCAGTGAAAATGCGTGGGTGAAAAATGTATGCATTAGACTGTGAAATAAAGAAGAAACATTGCTTTCTCCTTGTATCATCGTCATCATCATCCATACATGCATACTTACATAGACATAAATACATATGCATCGCACACCTGTATAAACAAGTACACACCGAATTGTCAGAAAAAAACAGTTAAAATCAGTTATATTGAATAGAAATGTTAATATATTGGATGTGTTGTAGTAACACAAGGACGATGATGATGAAGAGGATAATTATCATCGACATCGATAAAAAAATATAGTAAAGGAAGAAATAGGTAGGAGTAGTAATAAAAACCAAGAAACAATGAATAAAAATGGAAAGCAATACAAACTATTTCCTTTCCGCTTTTTTACAGATATAATAGAAGAAAATTTATAAAATATTTTATGTTAATAAGCAATGCAAAAAAATAAACACTAAAATTCACAAACGCAGTTAGGCAGTAAATAATAATCGACACAGAACTCAACACAAATGTGTGTTAACCCAAGTTACCAGAATACACCAACGCAATGAGATGATTAACAAGTGACTAGAAATAATTCAGTAACAATGATAACGGAAATAATTTAGCATATACAACCAGTACACGCGCACATCAAGTTTAACGTAAATAAATCCGTATTCTGTGACTAAGTTTTCTATTTTATATATTTGCCGCCAAATACCCTGGTACGAACGAGCGTGGGGAAGGCCCGCTCTCCCTCTCAAAATGCCCTCACACAGCCACGCCTATATAGCCTCTGCTTGGAAAGTCGTACTCACTGTCTTCTCGTGGCAGTACTGGTGTTTACGGAATTTGAGAGGACGAGAAGCGAATATCTGGTACTTCAACCGGGTTGGTGGACACAGAGAGTTCACCTAAAGGAGTTGGAAAACCCTGATTCCAAAGCAATGGTGCACATAGGCTTCAGGATCCTGATGGAGAAAATGTCGTATGAACCAATCGTTGGTCACCGGCTACCATAGGACTGCATTTCCCTACGTTGCTCCACTGCCTTGTGGATCGGGCCTTTAGGTCAAAGGCTCCGGGTGTGGCTACTTAAAATAATCACCTGCTTAGGTCCAGGCACCCGGGCAGTATTCCAGCTCTCATGCAAATCGGGTGATTTATGTGGTATATATCTATTTGGTGTCTCCTTGTACCAATGTTTATGTGTTTGAATAAGTAATAGTATAATAATAAATTATGGTAGAATTTGAAGCCATTTCGAGCTTTGTTTTGGTAATAAGTTTAATTACGACTTGTTTAATATTGTTTTTCCCCTATTTTATTGGTACGGAATTAATTCTCATTAGTTTCTTATACTAATTAATTTTGTTTTGATAATATCAATTGTTTTAATTTTCTGAATTATGACTCTAACTGATTTCTCTATTCATCTGAATTTTAGTCACTTATTCATTGTTTTTCAAAATAATTCCATATACTAAAGTTCACACATTTTGAATCATATCGATTTTATCAAGTATTTTGTATGCAATATTAATATTGCTTTTTATATATTTAAACGGCATAATACTATGATGTTATGTACTGGTGAATATTTCGTGTTAATCAGGTCAAATTAGAGTTAGAAACCAGTGTAATCAATCGATTATTGATTGTGTACCGACCAAATTGTGACACTTTGCAGTATTGCCAAGCACTCGATTGAATAGAGCTCGTCACTATACATCAACTTTTTCGACTATAAGAAAGCATTCGACAATGCACATAGGAAAGTTTCGCGAAACCTCCCATAACATTATGGAGTGCCTGACAAGATTGTCACCATCATGTTGAAATCTTACAAGGGACAAAACTGCGAAGTTGTGTCTGGAGAACAGCTCATAAACGCATTCCAAATGAAGACTGATGTCAGACAAGATTACTCACTCTAGCTTTTCCTCTTTCTTCTCATTGTCGACTGAATTATAAAGACATTCAAATCTCAAGGGAAGCACAGAATGTAGTAAACATCTTGGGCCCAGTTGGACAATTTGGACTCCGTATATGGCCTAAACTTTCTCTCTCATACACACTAACAAGTACATATGAAGACAGACAGGGTGGCAGCAGCCTCTGCAGCAGTAGACCTCAACATACATAAGAAAAAGCAAGGCTTTGTATAGCAACACAGAGAACATCAACACGATCACACTTGATGGAGGAACTGTGGAAGAGGTGAAGACTTTCACATATCTGGGAAGCATCATTGATGAACAAAGGTGGTCTGATGCAGATGTAAAGGCACGGACTGGTAAAGCAAGTGCAACGTTTCCACAACTGAAGAACATATGGAACTCAAAACAACTGTAAGCCAACATCAAAGTCAGAATTTTAAGTGCAAATGACGAAACAGTTTCATTGTGGGGGCTGGAACTTGGAGAACTACTACAACCATCATCAAAAAGTGACAGGTTTTTATAAACCGCTGTCTAGGCAAAATACTCCATATCTATTAGCCAGACACCATGAGGAATAACCCAGTGTGTCAGCGAACAGAACGGCTTCCATGTGAGCAGGAAATTGGGAAGAGACGCTCGAAACGGATAGGTTACACCGTACGAAAATCAAACTGCATCGAGTTAAGTCCTAGCTAGAAATCCTCAAGAAAAGTGGGAAAGAGGCTGACAAAGAAAAATGTCGCTCTGAGAATCGGAGTCAGACATCAGAGGAGTAAGTATCACTTGGGAAAGACTGGAAAGAAGAGCCCATGACAGAGTTGGTTGCAGATCTCTGGTCTAGAGCCCATTCCCCGCTAGGGTTGAAGGGCATAGGTAAGTAGGAATCAATGTATTCGTTTCTGGTATGGATCATACATGGTTTAAAAAATTCAGAGGGTGATATTTTATTAGATCACAAGTATTGTTAGTAATATGAAAGCTAATCTGTTAGTCGACTTCATCATTAAATAATCACTGGTAACTTCCATCGTAGCTGCTTATCACAAATCAATTGAATTTAAAAATTACCGAATGGAATTCTGTCTCATTTGCTTTATAGTTTTGTGATTACCATAAGAATCAAGTTTTGTTGATTTCGACATTTCGTCGAAATCTTTAATTTACACTGCTAGTGAGTATCAAATTGGTTAGGAGAAAAAGAAAACAACTCTTGATTGTCTCGCTGATCTTCGATTGGTTCTCGAGCTGATATCAACCTATAACAAAAATGATTTTTAGATCTAAGTATTTTTACTGTGTCTTTTGTCGCTCTTTTTTTTATAGTTTTCTCTCTTCGTTCCTAGTTATCTTGGTAATCTTTTTTATTTACTTTTCTAAATAGACTTCTCAACTCGTGTTATATTACCTGTTATCAACAATGATATAACTTCCAGCTATATTAATGCAAATTATATTAAAGTAAGTCTAATTATATATATATATATATATATATATATATATATATATATATATATATATATATATAATATCCTGTTCGTTTTGTACAGGTAACTGGCAATAAAATATTCAGTTAACGCTCTTGCTACAAGAGGATGTCTTTGAAGTAACATTATTTTTACACTACTAAACAAGTCTTCGTAACCTAAGTGATCCAGAAGCTGAATACTCACAGCGAGACTAAAGGTCTTGCGTTCGATCCCGGGTATAGTCGTGGATGTTTATTTCCAATTTACTGAGTAGTGGCTCAGTGGTTAAGACGTTAGAGTTTTAAACACTAATTTCAAGGTCGACCTTGGAAAGTTTGATGACGCCGCCAAGGTCAGAATACTCGTAAGAAAACTTGGCACGGTTGAACATGAACGCTACAGTAATTTCATCCTTCCAAAGAACGCAAGGGATTTTTCTTTTGATGAAACGATTGATATTTTGTCGCAAATCTTTGCTGAACAGTCATCCTTGTTCAATATTCGTTATCAATGTCTCAAGATAACGAAAACAGCTGAGGATGGCTGGGTGAGACATTCCGGTTTAGTAAACCACAAGTGTGAGCGCTTCAAACTATCAACAATGACAGAAGATCCGTTTAAGTGTCTCGTATTTGTGTGTAGCTTACAATCTTCCGAAGATGCTAATATCAGAACCAGAATTTTGAGCACAATTGAACAGTGTCCGAACATAACATTACAAGAAGTAACCGCGGAGTGCCAAAGACTGTTAAACTTGAAACACGATACTTCCATGGTTGAAAGTAATAGCCGTTTGCCACACGTTCATGCTGTAAGCGAAAAGAAAGATTTATGCCCAAGAAAAGTACCACTCACAGACAACTAGCCCTCATCTCATGGTCATGGGGAAGTTGGCACTATAAGAGGTTCTACCCGTATAAAGAACATTATTGCAGAAAATGTCATCGTAAGTGGCATAAAGAAACAAACTGCAGAAAAAGAACTCACAAGTAACATTCTTCGAAATTATACTTCAAGAAATACAGATCTGGCGCATTAACTAACAAAATATTGGTATCACATAACCGAGCACGAATTTACCGCCAAAGAAAGTATGTTACCTTGGATATTAATAGACAGCGCGTTCGCCTTCAACTTGATACGGCATCTGATATTACTCTAATCAGCCCATAAACTTGGAGGAAGATTGGGAAACTCACAGTGCATCCAACAACACAACTGGCAGACAGCACATCTGGTTGGAAGTTAAATATTGTTAGAGAAGTACCATGCATTGTTTCTAAAGGTGCTGTAACGACAAATGAAACCGTATACCTTACGAAGAACCCAGAACTTGACTTATTGGGACTAGATCTTATAGAGACACTTAAACTAGCAGACCATTCTATTAACAGCATCTTCAAACGAATTACAACTGACAACTCCTTAGAGTGCAACCAGAAAAATGCCTTGCTGCAAAGACACCACAACGTTTTTTAAAAAGAATTGGGAGAATGTACATAGACCAAAGAATTGTTAACCATCAAACCTGGCGCTACTCCCGTCTTTTGACCTAAAAGCTGCCTCAACTTCACCTGTGGACCGTCCTCACAGAATGCTGCCCCGTCTGTTTCGGTCTGGGCAATCGGATAGTATTATCGTCTCTTACCGTAAGAGTGTGGCTCATACCCAAATGAGTAAAGTACCTGGTAAATAAGTTATTGATAATAAAATTAATAATGTTATCATATTTTATTTTTGCTTTGAGCATATTCATCTGTCATGAACCATTTTGCTGCTAATAACTATCGTTTAATGCAACATGGATCATCATGCTCATTTCGCCATTGTGAATGCAGTTAATTTCAAATCAATGGACTTAATTAGTCTGATATTATTTGACAACCGACTTATAGCGTTGAGTTGAGATGATTATGTTTGTATTACTGGAATTATACTATTTATTTGCAAAAAGTTCATAGGAACAATATTCGATAGACTATGTCAGTAGTAGTAATTAGTAGAGGTAAATTTTTAAATATCAGTAAGTGGTTGTGGAGGTTGTTGAATCTCATTGAAATCATGAACCGATCTAATTTAGACCACTACTTGAAACCCTGTAATCACTAGACGGCCGTTTTGTCGTAGTAGGGTACTACTCAGCAGTGCACATCCACGAACTCGCACACGCAAATCGAACCCTGGACCTCATGTGCCCACTAGTAATTAGCTTCGAGAGTAAATTTCTGGAGTTCTAGTGAAAAAGCCTTGACCAGTGGAGCTTATCCGTGTCGTATGTGAGACAGTGACACATCCGAAGATCATGGGAGATCGTCGTACAATATAGTGGATTGATTGATGATAGACATTAACACCACCGGATGCGGACCCAATGGTTTAGAGGTTAATGGTTCTCACACGAGACCGATGGTCTAAAGTTCGATTCCCGTGAAAGGGTCCGTGGATGCACACTGCTGTAGAGTCCCATACTAGGGTGGGTTGGTTGTTCAGTGCTTCCAGGTTCCCAATGGTGATCTATCACTAATCGGTTCACAATTTGAAATTTTTAAGTGATAATGAGATAAAGAATCATAAACAAAAAACACTATAGATCTATTTCTAGTCTGACAAAATTCATGTAATTTTGGAGTCATGTAAGTTTTTTAAGATTTTTATATAAATTGTGTAACCTATAATGGTATTTACATATACCTTGAAACTTGAACTGATTATTATCTGATTAAGGATTATCCATTTCATGCAAATGGATGAATAATTAAATAATTGTCTATAGTGTACAATCGTCGTTATACCCTCTACTGATATCACAGTTTTTTTTCACCTTGTATAATTATCTTATGATTTTATTTAGAAGGCATTTTTGTTGTCTATTCAGGTTATCAACCAATCAGTCAATACCGATATCTTTTAAAAATATTTCTGTTATGTGATCTTCAGTCTAAACATTTCATCTTTATAAATTCTCAATATGCAACCGTTAAATAATTTTATTTTTATTACTTTCTTGTTCGTCCCGTTAATTTAACTTTGGACATTATATTCGTAAACTTGACTAAAAATTTAACACTTTGTGATGTTAAATGTTATTGTTAATTATCTTGTAAATATTGTTTTTGTTTTTCAAAAAAATATGAAAATCAATGTTGAATGGATGGGTACGAATCAATTTGAAAAGGGTTATAAAAGTCGTCCAAATGCATTTATTGCTACTCAGGGTGTTATGCCACACACAATAAATGATTTTTGGCGTATGGTATGGTATTCTCGTGCACCGACCATCGTTATGATTACAAAATTGGTTGAAAATAAAGAAGTAAGCTATCTCCTTTATATATAATCAATACCTACATTCCTGTTCTAAGAAGTAATGGTATACGCATATTCATATACCAAAAATATATGCTGTTTGTGTATTGTTCGACATATTTCTAGAGATTTAAATTCTCAGAATTAGTAATTGCTCCAAGTTAGTATCTTTTCACATATGAAATCTAAACTGAAATTCATAAAACAGTGTAAAGCCGTATTATTAGTAGTAGAGTTGAACAACTATTGTATCGAACACCGATTGTTGATCCTATAAATTAGTGAAACCACTGATCAATTTGTACAAGATAACTCAAATGAATTAGTATCAATTTAGTATTGTTTCACAATTATTATATTTTTATTATCTATCTGTCCAACCTGACATAACTAACATCATTATAAAATTAGTAATGTTAAGTGAAAGTTATGTTAATCAATTAGTCGGTAAAGTCCAATGTGTTTGCTATGTAACAATACATTAACTGTGATCAGAATAGGGTTTCTGGAGTTTTTTTAGTAATTTTAATATTTGAATTCACGAGTCAATGTAAGCTAGGCCACCATTGAAAACCTGGAAGCACTGCATGGTCGTTTCGTCCTAGTATGGGACTCCTCGGCAGTGCGCATCCACGAGCCCGTACACGGGAATCGGACCCTGGACCATCGGTCTCGCGCGCGAATGCTTAACTTCTAGACCACTGAGTCAGCATTCAACGTTGTTAATGTCTAACTTCCATCGACTCATGAATGTTGCCCAACCATTCAGTGGTGATCTAGCTTACATTGACTTATGAATTCGACAATTAGAATAAGCTAATTATTGAGTGTTTCTTTTAAAATTATTGTTTGATAATAATTAATACCACGCTCCACCTACACACTACTGCTGTCATATAATAATCTTCGTTTGGTTTATGGATGGTCTCAATACTTTCTATTTGAATGAATGAAAATTAAATCGAGGTGGACCATACATCATCCATAAGCTGTGTTTTAGATTTTTTTTATCCACCTACGCATTTCCAGTTATTATTATTCTTAATATAATCGGATTACATTTTGTATGTGTGTATGTGTGCATGCACGTGACTTGAGCAGATTTTGCTTATGCTTTTTTAAAAACGCTTTATGTGGTCACATTTCAACTTACATATCTATATATTGTGTTCAATGTTTATTTTGTATGCTATTGCTACCATACGCAATTTGTTTGTGTGTATTTTCAAGTAGACAGTTTGTGTGTGCAGGTATGTCCTGGTATTAATTTATGCCTGATTATATATATATATATATATATATATATATATATATATATATAATAGTAGTTATGTTGACTTCTGTCATATAAATAAATAAATTCTGAGTCTTGTTCATTGAAAACTCAATTACTGTATTTCCTCAAAATATCGAGTTTTACCGTTAATGAGATTGACGAAATTAATATTGAGCATAAGTAAGCGAAAATTGTTCTTTCATTTTTTTTTTACTTACGCCTGTTACCCCTCATAGAGGAGCGTGGGCCGCCCACCAATACTGTGTGAATGTTGAGTATTTTGCGTAGACAACTGTTTATAGATACTTGTACCTTCTTAATGATGGCTGTAGTAGTTCTCCACGTTTCATATCCGTAGACAGCCTTGTCTGACTCCGGTTTTTACTTGGAATGTATCAGTCAGCTGTCCTCCATGCACGACTTTGCACTGTAGCCCGTCGTTCTGGATAATGTTGACAATCTTAGGAACTCTATAGTGTTGAAGAAGTTCCCATGATATTCTTCTGTCCACACTGTCAAACGCCTTCTCAAAATCAATGAAGTTGCTGTATAATGACGAGTTCCATTCAACTGATTGTCGACGATGATCCATAATGTCCTTCGTTGTATCACATAATTGTTTCATATTTCCTTCTCTTGCAGCTTTATCCGCTGTCGTTGCTAGTTCTCCCATGTATTTCTGCTTGTCGAATTTAATGATTTTCTCCACTCTCTGCTCGTGTTCGACTGTTGTTCATTGCTGTCTTCTTGTTCTTTCTTTCTTGAATCTTCTCCACGGTTTCCACAGAGATCTATTCCTTATGATGGTGCTTCTTGCGGCCCAGAACCTCCTGACACGGCGAAGTTAGTGCTTCTTTCACCCCTTTCCAGTTGTCTTCCATAGTAGTTTTCTCTTCTTCGAGTAGATCAAGTAAGGCTTGAAACCTGTTTTTGAGAGCTATCTTAAATCAGTTGAGTTTGTCAACATCTCGAAGGAAGGCTGTAGTGAAGCTTTCTAATACTGTTTCTCCAGTTGTCCGGTGTTTCTTTAGCTTGAGTCTCATCTTGGCCACAACCAAGTGGTGATTTGAAGCTATGTCATCTCGTCTCCTGGTTCTCACATCCTCCATTGTCCTTTGGAATTTTTTTGTTGATACAAATATAATCTATCTGGTTCTCTGTGGTGTGGTCCGGTGAGATTCATGTAGTTTTGTGTATGCGTTTATGTGGGAATATTGTGACACTTATAACCAGTTTGTTGAATGCGTATAGACTTGAAAATCTCTCTCCATCTTCGTTTCTTCCAGTCAGACCATGTCGTCTAATGATATTTTCATATCCGGCGTTGTCCATTCAGACTTTGGCGTTTAGGTCTCCCATCAGGGTGGTGAGGTCCTTTCCTGGGCACTTCGCTATAATCGATTGCAGACTCTCTCAACATTAACCTTTATCATCGTCATTGCTGCCTATGATGAGTGGATAACATTCATTGTGATCCTCTCCCTCTTTGTTTTGAAGGATGCTTCGATAATTTTGGATCCATCAGATTCCCATCCAATAAATGCTTTTCATGCTTGTTCAGACAACATCAAAGCAACTCCCTGAATGTGTGGAGCGATTTCCTCTTCGTGACTGGAGTACAGAAGCATCTCTTCTGTATCCAACCTTTGCTGTCCAGCTTGAGTCCAATGGGTTTCGCTGATTCCAAGTACTGTCAAGTTGTATCTCCTCATTTCGTTGCTATTTGGCTGGTCTTTCCGGTCTTCCACATTGTCCGGACATTCAATATACCTATATAGAGTGTTGCTCTGTTTGTTAGAAGGGGAATTGGTCTCGTGACTTCCGAAGAATCTCGGCTTTCATCCTGAGATATCATAATTCTTCCTTCAACTCCCAGGGCAGAGTCTCATTGGTCTAATTTCTTTAATCTGGTTGGGGCTTTTCTAGAGAAATTTCTCTAGGGAATGCGGTTGCCGACCTCATGCGCACCTATACTCTTTTACCCGGGCATGAGACCGGCAGTAACCCTTATAAAGCTACAGGAGGAGTTGTTCGTCCATTTACTTGCAGATTTTGTGTAAGAATGGAATTGTTTATTTTTTGTCAGAATGGATCTTAGAATATAAAATGATTATATTTTAGCAAAATAGAATCACCCATAAGCAAAGATGGATGGTGGCTAGCAGTGGAATCCAGGACGTGAGTATAATCCTAATCGGGACTCGTCAGCTGGATGTAGCTTCATCCCAAAGTCACAGATTTAAAATCAAATCTTGGATGCAGTTACATCCAGTTGATAAGTCCCGAACAAGACAAAACTCACGTCCTGGATTACACTGCTAGCCACCATACGTATTTGATTATAATGCAATGCTTTTAATGACCTAAGGTAGTATCGGGGAAATCCGCACAGGATTCACATATGCCAATGAGAGACCGATCAATTGCACTCCTAAATATCCATGGGAAGATTTAAATAAAGAATACAAAATGAATTAAAATCACTAACAGATTAATTATTTATATCCTTTAATAGTTAAGTTTGTTGCAATTCAATTTGTGATGATTCGGATCGTCCCTTTGTTGATATCTTTAACGGAAATTCTATCAATCTTAGTTGGTATATGTGCATACTGTATAGATTACATCGATATAGCAATTATTTCACAAGTCTATGTAGAATTGATAAATCTTGCTAATTGAACGCTATACTCGGTTCCTAAGCTTTTCTCGTAACGACCAAGCTAAATCTACACAGCGACTTGAACATGAGAGAAAAGGCGCAAAATATGCGAGAAGCACTTTACTCCAAAGGTTCATTCATGTACAGAAGATATAGGGTTTTTATAGTATTTCAGAACTCTTTGGGTCTTCCCGAAAATTCTGAAATGCTACCGAACATATTAGCAGCATAGTAATCAGCCATTCAGAAACTCTACATGTGATTTTTCACTTTCGTGATGTTTCTGGCAAAGCTTCTCTAGTAAACGCTGATTGGATAAAATGCTCCTTAGTGTTTCCTGAGCCATTCTTGTCTTTTGCAAGAAGTTTTCTCGATCACCCCAACAAGAATAGGTAATCCTCACAGGATCCACACATCCTAACTAAGACTGCGCGAATTTCAGTTAAACATATCAACAACCTGACAATACAAACCATTTCAAATCGAACTAAAATCCATATTTGTTGTATAAGTGAGTGGCCATGTGGACTCAGTAGTGAAGTGGATAACGTGATGGCATTTGAAGAGGACGATAGTCGATTCAAGTGTCAGAATGAACATTAACCCTGAGATGCAGGTACGTGTAGCTAACGAGTTTCAAAAAGAAAGAAACACATATCTTGGATTCCACTACTAGCCACATTTCAGCTATTCTATGAAGGTATCGTGTTCAGATAAACTATCTGTTGAAGATATTTTCGTATCAGATCATATAATTACGTAAAGATGAAAATAAAGGTCACCCAATAGACAATATTCATTTGCATTCAGTTGTTATGTCTAGAAATATATGTGTATATGAATAAAGTGAGAAAGAAATATAATGCCTCTAGTGTTAAATTAGTAATTAATGTATTTGGTGTTCAAACTGACTAAAACTGAATTTTGTTGACTAGAATTGTGGTTACCAAAATGTTCTTCTTTTCCGCTCATTGAGAATAAGCATCCAGTAATTGTGTTGTAAATGTTTTGGATCTCTTATTTTATTAATCTCATGGAACTCAGATTAAAGCATAACACAACTCTCATAAGCAGAGATGAATGGTGGATAGCAGTGAAATCTAGGACGCGCGTTTCTTCCTGATTGCGACTCATCGTCTGGATGTACCTTCACCACAAAGTTGATATACACCTTGGGACTCGACCCACAACCGTTCACTTCAAACGCCATTACGTTATCCATTTAGCTACTGAGTCCAGATAACCACTGGTTTGTGCAACGGGGTGAACTTTGGTTTTAACTCGTATACACTGATTGTTTGGATCTTTGCATTGATTTCTAGGTCTGTGGCTGATCAGTCTCTTTTTGTATATGTGCATCCTGCGCGGAGATTGCTGCCTATAACGACTGTAGTTTACTGGCAATATAGAGGTTATCCACACATAATGCGTATATGTCAAGAGAGACTGGTCAATTGCTGTCCTCCATGTAAATAAAAAGATTCAAACAACCACGACAAATGAATAAAAAATTATGTTACAATAGATAGCTCTTATGCAGTATTAGATTTATTGTTGTTGTTAGTAAAACTACAAATACATTGTTGATTGACGTAGTGTTTATTAACTCTGTGTATGAGTTTTGAAGAGACTTTCACATTTCTAATGATCTACCAAATAATGAATCATCACATATTTAAGTGTACTATTTACGAGGAAAACTCCTGACTAGTATAAAGTTGGTCTTATACATCAAAAACTGTATGCATTCTTCAACAACATTAATTATCCAACATGAAAACTGTTGTTAATTCTAGTCTAATCAATTGATTGATACTATAAAAAAATGCAGTTATTTGTATTGTATTTGGTCCTCAATACTTCAGATAATCTGAAATCTGTATTTTGCCAACTTGATTATGACATCAAATTCTACACTTACCCAATGTGCATTACTTTGTAAATAATACTGGAGTTGTACTACAAAATATTCAAGATGTGGATTTTCTGACAATATTAGATTTCGTGTACTAATAAAGCATATTCTGTCATCGAAATATTATTGCGTTGATTTTGTTCATTGTAAAGTTTTCAGAAGTAACCTTTAAAATATTTATTTAATTAAGGTTAGATCAATCACATCCAGTCAATGATCCTCATTGGTTTTTAATTTACTATCAATGAGGCTTGTAAGATAATAATTGTTTTGCGTGTAATATAACATTGTTTGCTAGACAGTGTTCAGATGATTCAACTGAATCTCTTTTTCAAATGATGTGATTGATATCGTTGTGTAATCAATGTCTCATCATTAACCTTCAGTAGCTTGTCTGCAGGTAAACATTTTGTTATCTTCACCTTCAAAATCAATGTTTATTCATTCTCTACTTGGCCGTTACGTGCATATGCACACAAGTATGTGTATATATTTAGATTGGTGTTTTACTTTTTTATTGTCTTGTTTTAAAAAGAATGTAGTTGACAAAGATAGTTGTCAATTGTGATTACAAACTATTGGAACCCTAAGAAAAACATGCGAGTAAATACCGATGTAAATTTTTTACTCATTTTGTTTTTTTCTCTACACATAAATATGAACAGTTAGAAACAATTAACAACTGTAATAAAATATTTTCACCGTATTAGAGTGCTATAATGAAGTAAATATTGCAAAAGTTGTAATTTTTGAAAATGTCTTACGAAAAATTATCGTTTGCACTCTTATTATATAATCACTAGTTACTTGCATTATTGAAATCCTTACATTCTCTTTTGTTTACAAACTTTCTTTGGGTGCCCAAACTATTATTCCGTATTGTGCCTTCCTTAAGTTGTTGTTCATTTATGACAGTATTGGTGTTCAGTTCTTTTTCACTTATATCGTATTTATGTTTACATTGTAATCTTTAATTTATATACGGTTAAGTAATGGATAGACCGATGCTATTACACTAGTTGTGAGTTAGGAACTGAACTATACAATAAAAGTTTGTCTACTTGCTGTGTTTTAGTCCTGTCCTGGCTATCAGGCAGAATAGTGTGGATAGCTGAATCGTGGGGCAATAGGTGTTAAGTATTATTCATGGTCGTTATCTCACTGTCATTCATCAAGAAACGTTATTGCATCTTTCATTGGCCAATACAAGGTCATTGGCAATCTGACAGAATTAATAAATTATCGGACAGGATAATACAACTGCTTTCACAAATGACAGTCCAATCACATCGGCCCCAACATAATGCAAGAACCTGTTCCTTTTCACCTTTACACAAAAGAGAATAGTTATTGTAACTCCCTGATCGTGTTACATTTGGAAATATTGTTGTTGTTAGGTTCGAACCTCAATGAGAATACAAGTAGTAAACTAATCCAATTGTTAATCATAACAAAACTATGAGTGACAAGAAACATATTTAATTTGATATAGTCAGAAGCAGTCAACGGAAAACCCTACTTAATCTACATTTCAGGTTATTTAGACTAGATAGTGGGCATATTGCAACCAGATAAATAGAACCTGATCGATACTAAAAAGGATAAGGACAAACATGAGACTGATCATACCACTCAGTAACGATCGACCAATTGTGCAAACTTAGTAGATTTTGTTTCTATAAAAAAACATTTTGCACACACTGTAATATAATATATACTTATTTGAAAATGAATTATACTCGTAATTTGAAAAGAATAATTACTTCATTCGTTTTTATTTTGTTATAGGTTAAATGTGAGTTATATTTACCCGATTCTTCCGGTGAGGAGGATGTATTATCATTTGTGGAAAGTCAATCATTTACTACTAGTCCATTATTCAAAAGTGATCCATGCACACCTGATTCTGATGCTATGATCAATAATATTAATACTACTACTATTACTACTACTACTACTACTACTACTACTACTAATAATAATAATAATAATAATAATAATAATAATCCTTTATCATCTGTAACTATTGTTGCAACAAATGCTACACAAGTTCCAGATATTTCAACTAATCCATTATTACAAAGTTTATCATCACCATTCTTCTCACAATCTTCAACATCATCATATCATTGTGAGCATTCAAATGAACAGTTTGATATTGATACAACTAATATTAGCTCACCTATTTCAACTGGTTCTATTATTACTACTACTGCACCAATTGGAGGAGTTCTCCGTAGTGGAATAGATACAACAAAACATTTACACGATAGTGGCATAGCTAGTGTAGATGACCAATCTTCAATAACAGATAATAGTAATGTAATATTTTATAACAATAAGTATAACAATAACATAACTGATAATCAAAACAGTGGAAAATCATCTAATGATCGAGGTATAAACTTTTATCAATCTATATCATTGCCTGGTACAAGCAAAACATTTGGAAATATAAGTGTTAGTGTGTTGTCGTTGGAAAGACATGATGGATATATAGTACGCCATCTGCGATTAACTGTAAGCATCATTTTTGGTATATATATATATATGTATATATATATATAAATTTCAGTGTACTTATTAAATAAATATTTGATCTCAATAGTTCAACTCATGAGTCAATTAAAGCTAGACCACCATTGAAAACCTGAAAGCATTGGACGACCGTTTCGTTGTAGTATGGGACTCTTCAGCAGTGCGCATCCACGACCACTCATGTGGGACTCACACCCAGGACCTTCGGTCTCGCATGCGAACGCTTAACTTCTAGACCACTGAGTCGGCATCTGTTGGTGTTAATGTCTAACTACAATTGATCCATGATTTTGCGCAACCATTCATCCATTGTCTAAAGTAGATTCCTGTCTCTATCCGACACGGATTGAACTCTGCTGGTCACGGCTTCTCACTAGAACTCCATCAAACTCATTTTTAAGCCAGTCACTAGTGAGCTAATGATGATTATTATTAGAATGGAAGTTTGTATTGATTTTAATATTTGAATTCATGAGTTGATGTGCTTCCAGTGCTTCCAGATTTTTCATGGTGGTCTAGCTTACATTGACTCATGAATTCAACTATTAGAATTACTACAATCTCCAAAAAACTCATTCTAATAAAATATTTGATCATCTAATAGGGTTCATTAACCAAGTACAAGGTTCTTTTTTTTCTCATAAAAAGAATGGTGACATTATTCCATCCATTCATCCTAAGTTAATAGGGTTGATTTTCGTTCTCCAGATCGTATTATCGAAAGTTGAACAATTTTTAATTGGCTTACCAATGAACTAATATACAAAACAGAATTAATCTATATGTAGTCTTGAGAGAGACAGCTTTCATTTTAGTCTGTTCCCCTAATTTTTATAAGCAGCAAGTAGATCTACTGTATGAATTCTTCAGTAGTGTGGTTATACACATATACCTAATTTTTTAAAAATCAGTAACAGTGGGATTATATAAGGTTATATGGACTTATCTTACAGCATAGAGTAAAACATTTTCTATAGGGTAGCATCCATATTCAGAGTAAAAGACTAGATTTGGTGACTTAATATATTAGAACTTGTATGGTATAAATAAAATCAATTAATTCATCTTCTGTTAAGCCTATAATTATAATATATTTTACTCTCTGTCTAATAATAATATCTATATGTAGTCACTAATAATTATCAATGATATGGTGTTCATTTCATAATTTTTATGAAATTCATTTCGTTGAAACCTTTTAAATGTTTATTCTAGTTATTCACTCAAATCTTGCTATTATGTTTAGTTAGTTTCCTTCGAATTGATAATATCAACTAATTAAAACAATCGGGAAATTGACAATGTGAATACTTCAATTTATGTTTATTGTCTTTTTTTTAACTAGTAAAACAAAAAAAGAAACTACCAGTTAGAGAAAGTGGTTGAAAAAGAAACAAGTTTACGTTCAAATTAGTTGACTGTTTAGTGTTTATATACGATAGATGGAATGTGGCTAGTAGTGGAATCCAAGATATGTGTTTCTTTCTTTTTGAAACTCGTTAGCTACACGTACCTGCATCTCAGGGTTAATGTTCATTCTGACACTTGAATCGACTATCGTCCTCTTCAAATGCCATCACGTTATCCACTTCACTACTGAGTCCACATGGCCACTCACTTATACAACAAATATGGATTTTAGTTCGATTTGAAATGGTTTGTATTGTCAGGTTGTTGATATGTTTAACTGAAATTCGCGCAGTCTTAGTTAGGATGTGTGGATCCTGTGAGGATTACCTATTCTTGTTGGGGTGATCGAGAAAACTTCTTGCAAAAGACAAGAATGGCTCAGGAAACACTAAGGAGCATTTTATCCAATCAGCGTTTACTAGAGAAGCTTTGCCAGAAACATCACGAAAGTGAAAAATCACATGTAGAGTTTCTGAATGGCTGATTACTATACAAATCTAAGTGCTAAGTTATTGTTTAACGTAATTTCGAATATGTTAGATTGTTAATAACTTTCAAAGATGTTAGAAAAATCTTCTATTCAACGATATCTTAATTTTGTTTATAGAGTATATAAACCATTTAGCGGAAGATAATTTTTAATTTTGAGGCTTATTGCAAATAATTTCATTTATTTTGTTTTTACTCTGTTATGTTAGTTAATTAACTAAAAGCAGTTAAATCTATTTTTTCTTAATGATTTCCTTTATATTTCTAGTGCGGTACAGAAAATAGAGAAGTTATTCATTTCTGGTATGTTGCGTGGCCTGATCATTCATCTCCTGAAGCTACCGCTTCTGTACGTAGTTTAATTGAACTTGTACAGGCTGTCGAAGCTTGTCGTAAAAATGCTAGTTCATCGTCAAAAGTAAAATTAACAGATAAATCTGAAACCGATTTAAAAAATACTGATGAAGATGTAAATTTTACATTTTGTAAAAAATTACCAGATTCTCAATGTTTTCATAATTCATCCTATCGTCCTAAACTAGTTCCATCTTTACAAAAAATGGAATTGGATCAATTGGATCATGAAGATGCACCAATTATTGTACATTGCAGTGCAGGTCTTGGACGTACTGGTTGCTTTATTGCTTTATGTATAGGTTGTGAACAACTTGAAAAAGAAGGTATAGTTGATGTATTAAAAATAGTCAGTCGAATGAGATTAGATCGTGGCGGTATGGTACAAAGTAATGAACAATATGAATTTATTCATCATGTTCTAGCTGCTTATCCATTAAATAAAAAAACCGTCGATGTGAATCATTCTCATTTACCTGTGATGTAAAACATAGTAGTAGTTAGCTAATGGTTTAATTCAACTACACAATAAATGTTGTTTATCATTCTTCCTATATACTTTCATTTAATCAAGACATATTATGCACTAAATTCCTACTGTGTAAAAACTTAAATTTCCGTGCATATACTTATCCTTTCAGCATTTATTGTTATTTCATTAGCTAAATGTTAGCAATTATTCAGAGATTAGAATTATATATTTATATAACATATTACTAACTTGTAAATATACCTTATTGATAGAACATTATCATTATCAAAGTGGTACAGTAAGATTATTGATTAATATTCTATAAAACTGCTCTATTCTACTCGTTATTTACTGTTATTGGTAAAATGAATGACTTCCATTCATCAATAATTGACCATTGACGCTGTGTTTGACTTTATTCATTCAACTATTCGAATTAAATTAACCAATCTTAAATCAAATGCAAAATTCCACCCACTCCCTATCTGTCTAAATTTGATTGGCTAATATTTGTATGAATAGTAATTATCTATAGTGGTTTATACTTTTTCTATAACTAATACTAATCCTATTACTACGTATTATTCCTATATGAATAGGAAAGCTAATAAATACTCTAACCAAAAGTGCACCCGTTATACACGTTTTTATGAATAAAATTAACAGGAACTATCTTACCTTTTGCCTCTCAGTTATCTTATATTCAATGTAAATCCAGTCAATTATTTTTCATCTATGAATGTGTATATAGTATATATTAATCTATGAGGTTATTGTATACACACTTCGCTCTTCTTTTTTTTTTAAATTTTACGTCTATATTATTCAAAACGTAACGAATACAAAATTGTTATTATGTAAAGTTTATTTATAAAATTGTTTGTCTTATTGTCAAATCAAGAAATTGAAAATTTTCTTGCAAGATATCTTAGATTTTCTGTTTAAGATTTAGCAATGAATGTTGCTTTTATATTTTGTGAATAGAAATTATTTCAGATTTTATGTATTACTTATTATTTAGAATATATATATATACTGCAGTTGATCAATGAATACTATGAATACTAAGCTACTCCATCAGATTGGTTAATAAAACTCATTTGTATTTGATAACTTAGTGTTATTCTCCAATGTTTTTGATAATTGTTGATTATTTATTCTCCCTTGCTGTTCTTCACTCCTCATTCATCAAAAAACATGTTTTTACCCATTCTTCCCTTCTCCATGATTTAAGTAAACCTACACACTTGGTATGGTAATTAAATAGTTACATAAATATCAGTCGGTGTGTAGAGATAATGTAAAAAAAGCCAAGCAATTTGTAGTAACAAATAATTTTTTTCTAACAGAATTTATCCATTCGATTTTCTTCTTTTCTATTTACACAAATCCACATGATATAATTTGTTGTATTTCGCTACCAGTTAGTTTAATTCACATGTTAATTGATCGATTGAAATACACAATATATCTATGGGAAAAATATGATGTTTTTTTTTCTTTACATCTTACGTTTCATCATACTGTAAATAATGTTTATTTCCATTATTTTACATTTGTTTGTCATGGTGTGAGCAATTATACATATACATATACATATGCATAGATATATATATTCGTACATAAAAATGAGCCAATTATTATTATTACTGTCCCTGATAATAATATTTAATTATTTCTATTTTTTATATAACTTATTTTTAAGGAGAAATTTATTTGTTAGAATAATAGAAAAAACAAGAGTAGTTTTCATTTTGCATCTCATTCATAGCTGCTGTGTGCTGCGCATTTGGTTTTATCTTTTATTTACTTGTTTTTATTTTGGCGTTTTTATTTTTTGCCGGTTTCTCTCCCGTTTTATTTTACGGTTGTTTTTGTTTTCTTTGTTTCGTATTCTTTCCCTCTATTTTCGTGGTTTTGTTTATAGAATAATAAACAAGGAAAAAAGAAAGTGGAAGCACAATATAATGTGTGAAACAAAACAAAAACATTAGATTTATCATTGATATTGAAATTTGTCTTTCAATTTAATCTTATTTAGTTGTTTTAATATAATCGATTACTTAAAGGAGGAGGAAGAAGGTGATAGTCTTTTATAATTGTTGTCTAAGTTTCCTTAAGCAGCTTAGATTTACAAAAAAAAGAGTTCACTCTTCATGGTGTTTTCAAATAAGGCTTACTTCTTATCACGTATAAATTAATCGAATCATTTGACCACGAATAGAAATGGCTATAAAGCAAAAACAAACTGTTAGATTATGTTTCTTTTATCAATCAAGTGTTGGAAAAGTTCGAAATAATTTCATTCTGTGTGATTATGAATAAATTGTAAATGTTGTTCATTTTGTTTTCTTACGTAATGTATTACTGAAACACATAAAAGCATTCATATGACCTACTAAGCTTAGTCGGTTAAACAATTTTGATATTTTCATATGTAAATTGATGAGTATAGACGTGTTTAAATATTAGACAGCAAAGGTTGTGGGTTGTAATAAGTTCAGATGAAGTGCTTCATTGAACACTGAAGTTCTTGGAAGCAGTTATTAGTTTGTTTCAGCTGTTTTTAATCAAAAGTCGTTTTTCTAAATTGTCCATCATTATTAAAATTACAGAGTAAAATTGATTCATTTATTAACAGTGTAATCACCTAGATAATGATGAGATATTTTACGGATTTAGTTCAGAAATGAATAAGCTTATTAAGATTTTAAAAATGATTGGAGTTATGTAAAATTATCGTAAGATCGATTGGATATTATAGAACCTCCACCTAATAGATGATCAAGTTATAGGACGTATAGTCAGGCTTCCCAGTAAATGTACTAATAAGACTGACGAAACGCGAAGTTAGCTTTTGTTTATCATGCATTATAGCACATACTGTTTAATTATTTGAAACCATAACTCGGATTATTGAATGGAATTAATTTACCACTTTTTTGTTTGTCTCAAATCCATTAGCAAGATTAAAGCGTCCACTTTAACAGTCATCCTCAAATAGTGATGGTGATTCGTCCTATAACTCTATAGTCATCTAGTATTGTTTGTTGATAAACATCTAAAGTATTTGGATTTAGAGGTTAGTGAATCTTTTATATGAATATTACAGACTTTCATGTCCAGGATTTATATGGAAGAAGAATTTCACTGGACCTAATCTGGATGTCTTTTTGATTGTGACGATCAATAAAATCCCTTCAAGACTTCTGAATTCCTCTGATTAACAGATATTTGTCATGAAAGTCGGATACTTCTATAGGCTTAACGTAGTCTAGCAGTGGAAAGACTTTTGCATCAGTTTCCCTACTTACACCTATCTAGAATTATTAAAGCTGTATGAATTAAGTCTCAGGGTAGTCTCTGTGAAAATCAAAGAATAGTGCATCGCGATTCACTGTTTATTAGAAATAATGCACAATCTTCAATTTTAATCCATGACATAGGTTGTTTGAGTCCTCCACTGATGTTCAGGACTACAATTGATCAGTCTCCTTTGGCACGTATGCTTCCTGCCGGGTCGCCTTGGTTTTTCTAGTAAGTCAAACATTTTAAGAAAAGATGGATGGTGGCTAGCAGTGGGATCCAAGGAGGACCTCTTCGCTCCATTTTGGACTTGTTAACTGGATGCCCCTTCTCAGAGATGGTGTTCAATCCAGGACTCTAACCCAACACTGTTCACTTCAACTTTCCCGGAGTGAGCACCGAATCTGATATGCTGGTACATCCAGCTGACGAGTTCCAAATAGCACGAAGTACGCGTTCTGGATTCCACTACTAGCCACCATCCATCTCTGCTTAAAAAAATCCACAATCTTTAGTAAAATAGGTGTTTTTTATTTAATTCAAAGATTAGCACAATGAAGTAAACTAGGATTCTGTCTATTTTCACATTCATGTTATTAGAAGTTTCCAACAGTTGATGTCCATCTCCGAATACTTCTAACAAGACAATTTACGATTCCTTAAAAACCATAAATGAAACGCGGTTTTAATGACAATAAATTCTTTCAAAGTCTCACTGTAAACAGTAGCTTGGTTATTTTTTTAATATAACAAGAAAACAATGAGACTATATTGGAACATCTGCAATTACAGGAGAGCTATTGTATTATCTGGTCAGAGAATTGGTCATTTCGCCTAGATTGACTATATTGGACCTATCACATTCTGTAAACCAATAACACGATGGTCGTGAGTTGATAGCAGATAACAATATTGAACGACTACGGTGCAAGGTGCAGTTGTTCTATGCTTGCTGTCTCAACAGCCAGAATAAAACATAGCACAATAAGTAAATAACTTCTAATTATACGATTTCAAACATTCAGCCTCGCTTAATTTTTATCCAGTTATAGTAGTTTCATTTGACTCTTCTTGTTCATGTAACAAAGTCACAGTTAAACTAATTGACATGCAATAAATTTTCGAAGGATGCTTTGCTAGAACAAACAAGAAAGAATATGTTGTGGTGATGGGTGTATAAGATTATTATTACCAGATTATTGTAACATTAAAACTCATATGACGGATGAACCTACAATTTTTATTGAGATCAAACAAGTTCCACACATCAACAGTATTATACAGATCAACACAGTTTCCTATAGAGTTTTATCAAAAAAGTTTGAAGTGTCATATTAAGATTCGCCATGGAAAACTATTTTAGCGACTGGTGTAAAGTAATGTTAGGCGGTCTCACTGCATATTGACGCTAGACACTTGAAAAATCAATAACTGTGGGCATGAGTTTGAAGTGTCTAAATGACAATCATTTATACACTGGAGGTGTCTGTATTAAATTCGCTATTTGAAGGCTTGCAATACAGTTAAGTGGAGGTAGACTGGAAACGGTTGTTCAGATTTTTAACTTGAACAAACGATTATTACGTTCAGACGTATAAAATATAAAGCAACCAATTAGCAAAAGTGTTTCGCTGAAAATTAACTTCCAATATGATAAAAGTTGTTGACTCGAAGATGAATGAACTGCAACGACATGATTCTGCATCTTAACTTATATTCGTCTGTTATTCCTAGTGAATAAGAATGGGCCGCCCACCAAAATTACTCATCGATCACCTGGTGAGTCGTCTTCATTAGGTTCCAGTTGATATTCATTCTTTGATTCCAAGCGCAACATTTTTCTTTGCCTGCTTGTTTCCCGCTTCTCTTGAGGATTCCAAGTTAGGGCTTAACTCGATTCAGTTTGATTTTTGTGCAGTGCGACCTATCCGTCTTGAGTGTCTCTTCCTAATTTCCTGCTCAAATGGAAGCCGTTCTGCTCGCTGACACAGTGGGTTATTCCTCATGGTGTCTGGCTAATAGATATGGTGGTATAGGCTCGTGTTGGTATAGATATTATTTGTTTAGAATAGGGACAACGTCATAAAAGTCGATATTCTGAATAAGGATTTTTTTCACCTGATAATTGACAGGGTCAGATATCATAACACTCACCAGTTTACTGACCTATCATGCTTTTTGAGTGTATGCCTATTTAGGTAATCTGTTGATTTCAGTAAGCTCTAAATAATTGACAGTCCTATGGACTGTGTTTTTAGCGTACCATAGGCTTCTCCGGTAAGCTCTACTTGTGTGAGAATTATGTTCATCGCTTGTTTTCTCAGGAACCACTTTTGGTCCGACAAAGATAACCGTATCCATCAAACTATGCACAATTAAAACCACGGACTCTTGTCCTGTGTAACCCCATTAACCACACGAAGTCAGGGAAGCGGTTTACACCGAGTGAACTTGAAATTTGCACCGGACATTTTAGACTGTAGTAGTATTTTCTACACTGAGTTCGATTTAATGTTTCGGCAGTTAAAAAACTTTTGTTTTGTTTAGCCTTGAATTTATTTAGTGGTATCTGTGTAGTCTACAGTTCACAAACTATTATTTGTTCTAACAGCATCTTTTGGACGTAGATGAATAGTGGCCATCTGACTCCAACTAAAGGCCTTAAGTCAGTCATGTTGAACAGAATGAAATAAAAAGTCAAGAATATATTGATGGCGTCGAGTCGCGAATGATGATCACCACTACAACAAGATAACGTGACAGATATCGACTTGGATCCCTCAGTAGGCCGAAAATCAAAGGGATGTGTCAAAGAGTACAGGCGAAGTGGCAGAGCGTAAGAGCGTTCGCTCAAGCAAGATGGACAACGGAACGAAATATGCTTTTGGTACAGTCAAACAAATAAGTACAGTAAGACAATCACAGGTTTAATTGGTTGTAATAATAATTGTCTCCACTATGCCAATCCCTTACTCATCATGAAAAGTAGGCCACTACAAATATATTATAGTGAGGTACATATGTTTCATACACACGGGCTGAATAAACAACATGTCAAACGTACAATATTTGTAGGCAGTGAGAATTTTATTTAGTGTGTTGTGTGTTAGGAGTAAACTGGTGTTTTTTCAACATTGTGACACATGTTTTTTTTATGGATTTGATTGTGTTTTATCTACGAATTTAGAGTAGTCTTGTGGCGGTATTGGCTCCCAATCACATGGTCGTCGAAGCTGACCGTATAGTTACTAAGGATAGTTACATTCAACATGCAACATGAAGAGAAGGCCAGTAATGGTGAACGCTGGAACATTTAATCGAACTGACATTGCTGGGTCATGCAGGCGTGGTCACTGTACATAGCCTGCTGCTTATTATATCAAATACATTGTAGAAATGTGGTACAGTTTGTTATTAATACTGACACAGTAATGGATCTGAGCGTAAGATTGAAGATTTGTCACTATGTAGCTGTCTAACCTACGAGAACTTACGCTGAAGTCCCATCACTGTCTACGCTAACTCATCGTATCCTAAAATCAGTAATTTACGCCTAATATTTTAGGAGAACATAATTTATACATATTTTATGCGAATAATGAAAAAATATACAAAATAACGACGCCTGGAAGGCTGAGCCGTGTCATCCAAGTAATTGAATGAATGTACGCGCGTTCACTATTGTTGACCTTTTCTTAGCGCTGCATGTTGAAATTGAATCTTCTCAGTAATTATATGTTCAATTTCGAAAAACATCTGGTTAGGAACCCTTAATCCTGTCGCCACAATACTACTGGCTTTCAAGCTCAAACATGTTTTTTAGAAGAGCTAAGCACCATATTGCTGATTGCCGTTAGAATGAGCCAGTGTAGACAATGATGTGAATTTCATGTAAGATTTATAGATCAGGTAGTCACATCATGACATATCTGCATTTTTTAGGTTACGCCTATCATCATATTATGAAAACTTAATGTACTAAATTTAAATTAGACCGTAATTCAACAGTCTTACGAAATAATGATCATTCCGATAGGTCTAGAACTTCGAGAAGATAACCGTCTGTCAAACGGGAGACGAGTTCGCCTCTCAGAAGCCCTCATCGCTAGACTTCATAAGATGGAATATAAGGAATAGAATATAGAGAATATTCACGGGTCACTATAACTTGATCATAGGGGTGTTTGAAGAATGACTAGAGTATTTTGGGACGACGGAGGAGGTAATAGTCAAGTTAGACATGGAATACCAGGTAATAATGGCAAACTGGTAGGTGAGATAGTGTACTCTAGTCTACTAAAGTGGTTGAGACATGTACTGCGTGTTACAATCCACCAACTATTCTGACGCGCAAAGATGGCCGATGGAGGTGTAGGTTTGATGAGAGCTACAAACGGCCAAAGCAAAACATGTCATCCGCCCATCAAGCCACCCATTTCCGGACTGATATACGCACAATTTGGGTTTCGAAATATCACACTATATTTTTTATATACAGTTTTTAGAACCTATGCTGATTCTGTTATTAATCTTACTACTGTGTTATTTGTCATGATCTGTGATAACTTGAGCCGGAACACATTCGCTAGTTCCTACATTGCACATGAGCGACCAATTGAATTGTGTCCTTGTAATATGTTATTATTTGTTTGCCTATCTATCCATGTCTTAGTCACATTTTGACAAAATTAGTAGATTTCCATGGTCGGTGTCAATAAATCCAGAATAATTCTTAGGTGCTTTATTTCGAGTTATATTCGATACTGCCGTTGTGTCCATTCGATTTCTTCGTACTTTGGTCATGTTTACTTCCACTGTATATTCCAATAAATCTCTATGCTTAAAATGATAAATATATTCAGGAGCATTTGTATCCAAATTCTGATTTCAACAATTCGTCCTCGGTCATGGCGTTAAAGATAACTAATCTAATCAAAACTTAACAAGTGACAAAACATAGTGTTGAAGATTGTTGTAATTAAATATGAATCCAGTTTACATGCACCTCTGGCCCATCTTTTGCATAACAGTGTAAAATAAAGTGTTATTTATGGAGACTTATGGGATAATCAAAAACGAAATTCACGAGCATTGACAGTAGGACATACAACATATAATTTAACATAGGCAATGAATCCATAACAATAAAATTAATCCGTAAGCAAACAGAAATCTCGTCCTTTCAAGAGTTCAGATGAATATAAACTTATGTGTGCAATAATGCGCCATAATGCACATGAAAAGTTACTGTGCACAAAGTTCAACTGAGTAAAGAGAAGATAAATGGTTAGGAGTAATCTCATAATAGCGCTCAAGGTTATGAGCTATATGAGACAACAAAGGTAAACAAAAAGGTCACAAAATTAATAACCATTTGGAATTTTACGTCTAGTGGAGGTTTAGCAGGGTCTGGCTTTCTAGAATGGGCAGAGTGAACATATTCTAGTCAATCTGCTGCAGGTTAAATGGTGATTAATATATAACGAACCAGAAATTCTGTATCACTATTTCTGATGTTTCTCCTTTACCCAGGAATAATGATCTAAGAGAAGAGTAACCCAGAATTAAACCATTAATGCGAGAAAGGTTAACTCTCGGATCAAACTGTGAACGTTTGGAATCTTCTACTACAGCGCTTGCTATCTGCTGATACCTTCGAATTTTGATTCAACTCACACAATTCTACGAAATGTGAAAATGACTACATTTAAATGATCTTCAATACTTATCACTGAAACAATCGAGACTCCAACTTTCTTCGATTATTTTAGAGTTGTTAACATTATCTTTAGTTTTAATGGCATGGAGACAGACCAATTTCGGTTTTATTACTCTACCTTCCTATCAATTATTTATTGTTTTATTTCTCAAGTGCTGAGGTATTAAAAAACGTATAAGATCTTACTATAACCATGAGACTTTAATTTAATCGACACATGCACCCTTTAAGATAAAACATCTGTCATTTTTCTGTCCAATGATGTTTGAACTCATCGCGTTTAAACTAGACAAAACGGTTTACTTTGTATCAGGGTTAATAGCGGGTTAATCAGCTTGGTTTTCTGTAACTGCGTGTTTATGTTTCAAATATGAGCCTTATACAACCATCAAATCAGCAAATTAGCTGTACATCTTGTGGTGACGAAGTTTTCTCACTCGTGGAAGAAAATGGTCGCCCCAAAGAGAGATGGACACCTCTTGGTGCAAACGCAAGTCCTGAACCTGGTTATCATGCTTTTGAAGAGAATCACATAAATAATGAATTTGACCATGAGTCTGAATTATCTCGCCTAGCCATAGAAAATGAGCATCTAAACAGCTTGTTGATGGCTTTTACTTCGCACATCGCCCAGGTATTTACTCAACAAATTATACGTTATGATAACTTCTGAGTGAAACTCCTCCTTTTTATATAAGAGTAGTTTTATTCAGAAGGTATAGCCTTTTCGGTCATTGTTTATATACTTTTATTCCAAAAGTAAAGGGAATATTTTTATTCTGCGTATCTTGTCTTTACTATCCGCCAGATTTATATGCCTCAGGTTGTGAGTCAAGATACTGTTGTTTCTAATGTACGCTATCGATGATTTGTTTTGTTTAAACATGGCCGTCTAAAAGTTTTGAGGTGATCTCCAAGTGGTTAAAGCAGTTTTTCATTTCAACCGTTGAGTCACAAGTTTAAACTTCTCTTATCAATAATCTGTTTGGACAATCGAGTAGTGTCAGTCTTCAGTAATAAGGATAGCAAGTCGTCTGGCATTTTTTAGTTCTCGCAGCTTGTCTTCCCCTGACGATCCGGCTGCTTATTGGGACTGTAACCACATGTTCGAGTAGGGTGTTCCAGTTATTGACTACAAGATGAAAAGAACAGAATTCCACTATGGGTTTATTTGTGCACAGCCTTTGACTCTTCTCGAAATGGCCTTGCAGATGCCTAGTTCTGGAGGAAAAATGAGATCTGCTAACATCTGAATAATTAAAATTTAGAATACTAATATGAAGTCACCTCGTGTTCTATGATAAGATAAAAAAGTATGGTCTTACTCTCTACACTTATGTTGTTATTCAAAGATAAGTACACAAATCTCTACCTGGTAAATGATTTACCAACATGTTGAATTTTGGGACGTTGAAATAAACCAGGTAGTCATCCATAACGTCTTTATTTTTAAGCACAGCGTGTAAGTTGAGGCTGTTCAGAGAGGTAGTGATAATCAGGTGAACTCAAAGACAGCTTAAAGCACAACCAGATACCATTAGACGAATGGCCAAATTTTGTCCAAACGAGGAACTTAGTCTATCATAGCTTTAGGCTTTTCCCTTAATCTCTAATGAACTTGAAAGTAATCGAAACAAGAAGCTTCTATTCTCATGAAAAACACAAAATTACTCAGCTAAGAAGTTCAGCTTCATGGTTACGTTTTTATGTGCTTTAATAGGAAACTATGACACACAAAAGTTTTGAAGTTGAGATCAAAGAAGATGTTTGGTGGTCATATAAAGTTGTGATTCTTGAATACCATGAACTTAAGTTTTGTAGATGTAAGAACCAGTTTTCCAAATGAGCAAACATACTGCTCACATCAAATATCTATGTCACTTTGAGCCCAACGTGTCAATTTATCGTATATTTAATGCAAAATATCCCTCGCTACCAAGACAAATAGTCTGTTCAAGAATTTTAAACATGAGCCCTAGTTTATAGACATTTCCACTTCTTTGAAATGTTCTGTTCTTAAAAGAAAGTAGCATTTATATCATGATTTCAGAACTTTTTTTGTAGACAGAAATTCAATCCTTCATGATTGCTTATCTCGTCGTCTTTACCTGATTCATGTACTTTCCCATTATTTTCCGTGGTTTAAGATTTTATGCATTTATATCAGTTTGATTTATGATATATGAAATATGTATGTTAAGTTTTCAATGACTGGAAAGTTATCGTCAAATCTACTGAAAAATCTAACTTTTGGCGGTGAAAACATTTTCATTAGATTTATGATTTCTGTATGGTGCTAATCAATAGCCGATCATCTTCATATTGAGTACATCAATACAAACCACTATAAAAATTAGGTATTTTCTCATTTTTCAGGTACAATTTCGTCTAGGGCAAGTAATAAATGCTGAGTCTGATAGCAGAGAGCTGATGCTTAAATCTCTCGAAGAATTTGCTTCCAGAGGAATCCCTGACCTGCAGTCACTGGAGGAACAATGCAGTAAAGTTAGTAACTTGGTCTTTTTTAAATCATTTTATATTTTTCGGTACACTTAAATTCGGGGGTATTATATAATTTTACTTATACGCCTGCAGTTTGGGGATGAGGACAATTTATTTATTTGACATTTGACCTCTGGCTGCGAGACATTTAGGTGTTGCATAAAATAAAAGTTTTTCTACCTGGTTTAACTTCATAGGTTCGCAAAACGTCTTCTAAGTGCTGATAAAAAAAAGAGTTTTTTCGTAACCTTCAGATATTGAGGGTAGTTCAAAACTTCGCACTTCCAAATATTTATCGTTACTACCGTTAGGTTGTTAATTTCCTATAATTTTGTCTTTCAGAACATTAGTGATCGTGGATGTGCACTGTTGAAGTGCTTCATACTAGGACGAAATGGCCTTCTAGTACTCCCAGGTTTTCCACTGTAGTCTAGCTTTAATTGATTTATGAATACAATTATTAAAAACATTAGTGGTTTTTTTTATTTTTGCTTAGCTATTACTTTTTATGGACATTAAATATGATGGAATTATAAACGCTTTTGTAACTCACTTTTCTTTGATAGTATTTACTAGATATTTTAAAATTTTATTTTAAAAAGCATTTTTATGGTTATGTTGACTTGTGGTAAGATTTTGTCACCCTACGTGAATTACCCTGAATTCCAGTTACGTATGAGTTATCACATAACAGACGTGAGCTTACCGATGCGAGTAAAACACCAAATGGTGTTTTTCCATTGTTATTATTGCTTCTGCCAATGCTTTTAAAAGACATTGTTTATCATACCATTACAATCCTAAATGCCATTCGTGCTTTGAAAAGCATTATTATTAAACTTTATGTTACGAAACCTATGTGGACTTTAAAAGAATGGGAGCAAGCTTATAAAGTTTAGTTGGTGTAATTTAAAAGCACGGCTATTTTTGAGACTGAATCTTTACTTAGATCAAGGAGAGCTTATTAGTTTTAATCCCAAATATAACTCGTTAAGCAAACCCATATAGAAAATTTTAATTTTTTGACAATGTTTTTGATTAGTTAATCATATCTATCGGCTGTTAGTCAATGTTTCTAAAGATGTGTATTTCAATGACGGGTATACATATATTATTATTTTGATGTGTTCATAAATTTAGCTATCTTCGGAATCCAGGGCATATACTTCAAGTTTAGATGGACGGCCTCAGAAAATGATTGAACAGCTGAAAAGACACCTTGATGACCTAGAGAGATTCGCTTATGAGGTAATCACCTTTTATTGTTCAAAGAACAACCATTTCTTATAATTATGTTTCTGATATTCTTAGTGATTTTAACCTCGACATCGTTTCCTCCTTTATGTTTGAAATTTATTGCTTCACGTTTTAATTAACGATTTAAGTGGTTCTTATGTATTTGAAGTTGAAGTGCTACCGTTAAAATGAACTTTTTTTGATTGTATAGTAATAATAGGTCATTTTCTCTGCATTATTTAGTATTCATAATGGCTATGAGTTTGAAAAAACTTAAGCTTTGTTTCTTTACTGGTGTGATCGGTGGATTTTGACCAACACACATTTGTTTCATTTCGAATTTAACTTTTGTGGTAGTTTGACTTCTCTGAGTGTTATTCATGTTTTCTCAGTTGACTAAATAAGTATTTATTAATGTGAATTCAGGAGTCGTAGCATCAGATTGAAGCATTCTGTGGTATTTTTTCTAAACTCTATTAAATCGTATCCAATATCATATATTAACACCAAACATGCGGGCAAGTCAACTAAGTAAATATCTAATTTAAAATTTAAAAACGACTGTATTAAAATGTTATTCTTGTCCTAATATGTCAGACAATCCTAGTTTACTCAGAAAAGTACAGATATCTGTAGTTGAAGAACTGACACTCCGTCCTATACTTATATCAGCTCATTTGTCTACAGACTGCTCAGTACTGGTGAGCAATAATTTAGTAACGTACTAATGGAAATACTTAAAATGAATCTATCCTTAACAAATCTTCAAGAGTTTTCATCTTAAGTAAATATTGGTTAAATGAAGTAATAGCTAGTTAGTTTAGTTTTATTTAGAGAACATTCAACTGAAAATATCAGCCAACGATTACATTTATTGGACTTTAATTTTCGATATTTATTATGCCACTTAGGTAAACATGTAGTCTGTTCGTACTATGATAGTTATATGATTATTACTTACATATGATAATTCATTGAAGTTCCGACCGTTCCTGCTACCTTGACATGGCGGTCGGGCTTGTCTATCATAATGAACCAATCGAGTTATGTAGGCTGAAACAATCGTTCCTCAAGGTCCTACCATGCCGGGCAGGTTGGTTGAAAAGCGGTAAGATTAAAAACAGCAAATCCACGGTCTGAGGGCAAAGTCGTACGACTGGCTATACAGAGATATGACGGCGGTAGGATGTTTCCTTCAGACAACCAGCATATCAACAATGCTGCCATCTCATAAGGAGGGGTGGGGTTAGAAAGGGTCGACCCTAAAAATGCACACTTCGCCTGATCCCACGGATATCCATCTCCAGCAGTAAGGTCTCGACAAGTACGGAGCCAACACGAAAATTACTCACAAAAAGGTCGTGTGTGACCAAACTTAAGTAGTTGTCCCTTGGGCACTACGGTCACTCTCTTGGGTCACTAAGCCCACCTCTAACCCAATATCTTTTTCACTTACTCCTAGATTAACCTTTCCTCGGTGTGGGTAACCGGGAGGTGATAATCACCCTCTAACTCAAGATCATTATATTCATAATCAATTTAACTTTTCAGTTCTTTATTGAAGTCATCAATTCCATTTTAAATCAAAATAGGCTTTTTAAATCACAACTATATATTATTTAGACAATTATTTGAAGCTAATAGTGAGTGATTAGCTGCTTAATTCTAATTCACACATTTCGTCCGATATGAGCCCGTGATATCTCATACGAAGCAAATCGTAACCCTCAGGTCCTAACGTAAGAACATATCGTCACTGGACTCGATTCCCCTGACTATCACGTTAAATGTCATTTAACTTATGACGTAAGTTAATTTATCATTCTATATATAACCTATTAGTTGAATAAATACTCGTTTTAGTAAGTTCTGGTTTTGAATATTTATTTGACTAGTAATAATGTACATGAGATAAAGTTCACTGATTCACATAAAATCTTACTTTGCGTCTTATTTAACTCACGGATTCAAAACAAATTCAAAGTAAATCCAGTGATTGTGAATATTTTAATAGTTCACTGTACTATTACTTCGTTTATGCTAAGTTTAACACTAATATACTATTAAAATATACCATTTAGCTTACGACTACGATAACGTTAAATGAGAAATCTTTCAACATCTTTCAAGTTTTACAGTATATTTTTTTTTTCAATACGATTGTCTTTTTAATAAATTAGCTGCCTCAAAATTAATATAAAGTAGACATAATAATTTTTTGTAAATTTCTTTTATTAATAAATAATTTCATACATGGATATAAATTTTACTGTATATTAGAGTAAAGCCTGATGAGGATCTAATCGAAAACAATATTGTTCGCTTATATATATTGTTCTACATCTAATCGCTTGTATAAATACAAAACGATTTATTTTCATTTTTATGATAAGAATAACATCTACATTTATTTATTTATTTAGAAAATTCATTCATAAAATTTTATTTACAATTTCATTGGTCAGTTTCATTTATTGATTTTACCTTACGTTTCATTTGCTTGTAAATAATCATAGATATTCCCAATAATAACGCCCACGCATGTATAGCTTACTTTATAAATGATCTACAAGTATAATACTAGCTCATTTCTTGTTCGTTTTTCTTATAAATGATCCCATCTTCTTGATAATAATCAATAATAGATTATACTTGTTTAATTATCACAAAAAATAATTTAAGTATTTTGAATTTTGACTACTAATCAATGAGTAGTGTTGAAGAAGAACCATTAAAAATTTCATTCCTTAATCTAATTTCATATGAGTTCACTTGGTTTCTTTTTAAAATTAAATAGACAAGTTACGATGAATAAATAAGGTATGCTAATTAACAAGAAACGATTATCTTTATGAACAAGAATAACTTGATGGATAGTGCCTAGCAGTGGAATCCAGGACGCGCGTTTCGTCCTATTTGGGACTCGTCAGCTGGATGTACCTGCATCTCAGAGTTGGTGTTTACTCTGAGACTCGAACCCAGCACCTTTCGCTTCAAACGCCATCGCGTTATCTACTCAGCTACTGAGCCCTGATAGCCAGTTGCAGTCTTAAACGTCAATGGGAAGATTCAAACAAGTAATACTAAGTGAATTTAAGAATAAATTGAGCTTAGAAAAACAGTGTTGTTCACTTTGTATATAAAATAGATTGTAACAAAGGTATCACAACTTAGATTTTTATGAAATATAAGACGATCGAATACCATAAGGCTCATTTTGAATTGTATTATCTGCTTAGTTCTTTATTCCATTTTACCCTCTGTTATGTAACAGTGTTATAAGTGTGTTTATATTTCAATTCAAACAAAACATTTCATTCATTACTGTAAAACAAACTATCACTGGAGTTCCAAGCACATAGAACCACTTTATTATGTAGAAACAAATGTAGATTTTTGCTTTGTTTCCAAAATTTAAGATCTTCTTATTGCGATTCTCTTCACGGAAAGTATATTTCTAAAGATACTTCCGAAAAACATATCATGTGGCTGCGTTTGAAGATTGAAATGCATATAAAGGACTATTTGAACAGATTCAAGTTGTTGCTGGGCAAAAATAGACAATCAACAAAATCAGCAAACCGACTGAAGTTTGAACAATTAAACAACTTGATAGTGGCTAGCATCTTTGCTCATAATACTTGTAAAATAAGGCTATATCCAGGCAATACGCAGTATGCACATATGCCAATAAGAGACTAATCAATTGCAGTCCTAAAAAATCAATGGGAAGATTCAACCAAACAATATCAAGTGAATTTATTTAAACAACTGTATTCTGACTCATTCAGTGAGCGGTATTAAGGGATTTACTACAGTGTAAAAATGTGATCTTCAACCTGTGATTATGGTCACATTTCTAATTGCGAGCAAGGTTGGAATAAATGTTTTGAGTTGGTTGATTTAGAGTGGGTTACGAATTGCTGATGGTTAAAATTAAATTATCTTACTGTTCAAAAATATCTACTAGCAAAGAAATAGCTTTTATAACACAATGCTTTTAAATTTTATATAGTGCTTATAATATTTGTCAAATAACAAAAAGACAATGTATATACAAGCGAGGAACCACAGAAGGATAAAAAATATTTATAGTAGTAAGAAGAATATTTTAGGAGACTTTCGGAAAGTGTTTTATGTTACATACTCTCCTGAATCTGTGGGAATTTTGGGGGGTTCTCACTAAAGTCGTTTCAAATTTTGTGGTCTCATCCAGTACCAAATGAAATTTTCTCGATTTATTTATAAGGTTCATTGGATCCCCTCAAACTATACAAATTTAGTGTAAATTTTAGGAATTCCCCTCGAGTCACTGGAAATGTTGACTAGAAACCTCAAACCAATGGAAACTCTAGATTGTTTTGTCGTATTTGCCCTAAATTTCCACGAAATCGGTCCAAAATCTGCAAAGTTGTGAATTTGGACTTTTATCTTGTATTGTAGTGAACAGAACACTAGTTGGGGACAATCGAATGTATTTAAGCAAACATTACAGACTATCTCAATAAATTCTGATAACCAAACAATGAACAGTCAATTTGCAAATTAACAACCAATTGTTTCAATCTGCACTGTTTCTTCTCTTATTCCATTGCTCATGCATTTTCCAGACGTTTGCGTTTCATTTCAGTTCTTTCTTCATCGGTCTTCTGCCAAAATACATTCTATGTCTGACCCACACCATATACTACTTATATAGATATAAGTAGACCACACCACACTCGTCCCCCCTTTAAAGCATTCGACCATGCGGTGGTTCTGCTCACAACGCTACTATCTTCTTTCACTGCAGTCTGTGCCAAACACTCCGTCAGAATGTCGAGTCTGCGGCGCGCTGACCTCCATAGCTCCGTCGACCTGCCGGGGCACCAACATCCGCATCCACCCGGCACCTGGGACGTTCAACACCCGTACTCCACCGGCCTGCTGAGCCATCTACATCCGATGTCCGCCCAGCAGCCGCACGTCCCACTGCTCCTCTCCATCGACAGCACCCGCTACAGCCAACGCCGCCCCGCCAGAACACTCCACTCGACGCCAACTCTCCGCACCGGACTGCCCCAACTAACACTTCAACTCCAGACCCACAGCGGCGTCCGCAGAACAGCACCCTTCCTCCTCCCGGTTGGCAGCGACACCAAATGTAGTGAACAGAACACTAGTTGGGGACAATCGAATGTATTTAAGCAAACATTACAGACTATCTCAATAAATTCTGATAACCAAACAATGAACAGTCAATTTGCAAATTAACAACCAATTGTTTCAATCTGCACTGTTTCTTCTCTTATTCCATTGCTCATGCATTTTCCAGACGTTTGCGTTTCATTTCAGTTCTTTCTTCATCGGTCTTCTGCCAAAATACATTCTATGTCTGACCCACACCATATACTACTTATATAGATATAAGTAGACCACACCACAGTATGTGATATTACTGTATGTGGAGAAGTGAAAAGGAAAAGAAAAACGAACTAATTCTGGACTTTATTTAATAATTGTTTTAGTGATTTTTTTAAGCCATTTAATTTTAATTTATCTTAAATCTACGAATTTGACGATTGAAAATTAAGTTCATCTTATTTTTTTGAACTTCTATAATTACATTTAATACCGGCGAAATTTTTGATATTGAAGCAGTTCAAAACACCTTACGTCAAAACGATTATACTTCTAGGCATATCTGATTGTTACATGAAGGTGTTTATTACTTTCGGACTTGTGTATTTCGGTCTTAACAGCAAAACAAAGTTTCGGATTATTTCTTATTATTTTATATATCGGGGTGTTCAATACACTCCAACAGTGATAACAGAGCTTTCAATCATAAGAGCCTTAAAATGCATCATAACACTACTAGTATCCATTCGAGTACTTCTGAAGAAATATTATTTGGAGCACGCACTTAGATTAATAAAAGTTAATTTTATTTTGATCTCTTTAGATGTAGAAATAAATGGTAGAGAGAAGGAATCAATTTGTACTAGTGTTTGTGGAATAATTTATTAATGTTCAAAAATAAACTGTATTCTGTACAGAGCAGTAGAAATAAGCCACCACTGACCACCGTAAAAAAACAATAAGTACCTATTTGATTATCTAAATAAATTCAGTTTGTAGTCATACATCTTTCACAGTTATTTAAATACTTGGTTAACACTCATTTAAAGTTATTACAATTTCAAAATAATTCACCGTTAGTTACACTTGGGCTGTAATTCTTTAAGCTGTAAATATGAATAATAATCCACTGTAATTTTGTTACACAGCTGAAACAAACTGAATTTAGTGATTTCTCTACAAATGAAGTTTTTGTGAGGTGGTTGAATTTCATTTTGTTACTTCCGGTTGAAAAAACAACAATTCACGATTCTACACCTGTATTCAGGATTAATATTCATTACGTTTTTTAACAACTAATAATGAGTTTTTAAATTCCGTAAAATTATTTCCGGATTGCACCTTTGATACAGTATTCAGACATAGACTGTACTGTCTTATTCAAAGTAGATTCGGGAGCACCTCTGTACTGAGTACTCGTTGCATGATTTGTAAGTAGCATCCAACCTTTGTAGTGTCATATAAGAGTATGTGAATATAGTTTTCATTCGTTTCATCTGACAAAATCAATTCTTGTTATTTTCTTTTTGTATGTGAGTTATTTTGGGTTAATAAGAATGAGTTATTTTAATGGTTGTTTTTGAGAACAAAGTTTCCAATAGCGAAGTTGTTAGTCATGTCAAGAATGTAATGAGCACGCGGGATTTCAGTTGCAGCTACACAGAAAGTTTCGAATAATTCCGAAATCTCCTTTTGAATTGTGAACTTTAATAACTTTCGTTATAATTCACAAATATCATTCGACAGTTATTGTTCGGTAAATTTTGAAATTAAAATTCGAGAGTTTTGATAATGATACTATAATGAGGAATATTATTTTCTTGCATCATGATTATTTTGTTTGCTGAAAAAAATCATTGTATAAATCGATATTATTTAATATATTATTCCTGTTGCTTTGTCTTCTTGAAGACTGGTGAACAAAGTGAACCACCAACTCAGGCTATTCTAGAAAAGCAGCGTTTAGTACTAGAAGGTCTACGAGAGAAACTTGAATTGAATATTTCCAATGTGGATAAACTTCCAGCCGCTGAACTGCAACAAGTTGTAGACAAGGCTGTCAATCAAGTGAGTTCGGTGATCATCTATCAATTATTCCGTAATGAAATGTTTTTGGAATAATTGTTCCAGGCATACAATTTAATGTGAAAAAAGTAACAAAAAAAATAAATTAACCCATTTTATTTCGTCAAAAACCAAAGCTGGTGTTAATCTAGTGGAATCTTTTTATTGGTAAACTTTAGATATTTCGATAACTATCTACAGACAGCTGTAAATTTATTTTTTATAACTAGTAGTATTTACCAGTAGAAAATATTCACAGTTTTAAGGACAACTCACAGAATTAAAAACCTTATTTTCCAACAATAGAGACATTACTAGTTAGCTGTTAAGATTATAACTACCTACTGTCTATCTTAGTTATGAAAAGTGACAAAATGACTATATTTTAAGTTTTTAAAGCTAATCTAAGTATAGAAAACCTACTAATATTGATTAAAAGATTTATAAATGGAAGTTTTACGTGTGGATAAATATTATTAACTAACTAGAATTTTATGAAAATGATTGTCAAGTTATTTCACGTATAGATCAACAATCAGTAATTTAATTAGTCAACTCGTTGGAAGTATTCATAAAGTTGACCGTATATGATATCAGGCTAAAACTTCAATCTCATTTATACTAATATTAAAACAAACACATTTTCAAAGTTTTAAATTCAAATGAAAACTACTGACATCGGAAAGAAAAGTCGTTGTGTAGAGTTTTATAAAGATTGTTTAGTTCGTAGTGTTAAACTGCTGAAAATGTAGCACTTCAAGATGAAAAGTGTTCGGTTACTTTTGAAATGTTTTTGGATGCATTCATTGTCTCAAGACATTTATTCTTTAGGAACGTATTTGAAAAATCTGATTAAAAGATATATACAACGCTTCTTAAAAATGAATAGTCGCTCAAATTTATTAAACTACTTCCGGCAATCTGTATTATCCCGCCCATCAGATCGCTTTAAATTGAACTTTCGAAACCCTAGTGAACTATTATTTTATGAATATCGTAGAAGTAATTCACCCATTTTTTTGTAACAACTTACTGTGACATTAGAATAACAGTTTTCCCTTTTAAATCCAGTTTTTAAATCCTGTAAAAGTTAACGAAAAACTTGTGGAGCAGTTGAAAACTCAGGTGAATGATTTAGAACGATTTATCGATTTTCTTCACGGTAAGCTATAATACGTTTCTTCATTGTTTCATTTACATAAATTTTGAATTTTTTTAGTTATGTTATATAAATAATTTATATTTGAAAAAAAATTGCTAATTTATTTCGCACTAGTCTGTTTGAATCTGACCTATTACTTTTTTAGTACCCTTTAGTCATACATATTGATGTGAACAAAGCACTACAACTTTAGAAAATAACTGATTATTTGATAGTTACCCACTACAACTGCAACTATGGTACTGGTTTACTTAATCCAACCACTTTCCATATCGTTAATTGAGTTTATCAGTCTCCTTAAATAGAAATCAAGAAAGAATCGATTTTCTACTGATTATCTTTAAACATCTCGAATCTTGTGTTTGAGATAAGTTGACTACAGAGTATTGGTAAAAATACTGAAATATTCTTATATTCACAAATCTACCATACGGTTGTCATGTTCTGACAATTTAACTATAATACCAGGTAGGAGCATCTTTGATTCATTTTTCAATCTATGACTTCACCTAGATATAATTCAGGTTTATCTGTAAGCATTTCACGAAAGTTACGAATTCAAATCTTCAGAAAGCTTATTGATGTTAAACTTGGAGGCGAAGTAAGTATTGGCTCACTAATGACTTAGTCGTAACGACATCATTCATAAAGCATATAACTTGATGAAATTCCATCACACGAATTTTCAAATTAACAAAAGATGTACACAAGTTTTTTTCAAAACTGTTTCCGTATTACTATTCTACTATACTTTGTACAGCTACAAATTTGTTTTTTTATTTGAGTTAACCTGTGGTGTAAACTACGAATAATTAACAATCTTCACGAATCTCTATACTGATATTAGTGATTGCATGGAGATTTGTCAAATGATTTATTTGAAATAATATTTTTTAAGCGTTTATTTCACCTAGGGCACTTATAAAAAGTAAAATAACTCAAAACAGTAGCAACACTAATCTGTACTATCAAGTGAAAAAGTGTTTGTTCACTGATTTGAGGGAAACGATAATTAGATCATGTACATGACAATATTCTTCTTTAGTATATTAGCAGGCATTTTGTTCTTACTTTTTCTTGCTGAAACTTGTGTTGACTTTGACTATATTGCAGGAAATATGGTAGATTTTCGGTGGATATGTTCCTGACTCTATTTTACTTTTTATCTGATGACGTGTATTATTGTCAGACAACCGTGCCAAGTTGCTTATACTGACACAATCAACTAGTTATTCTTGGCTATTGGCCAACAAAAATCATGTTGTTTTTGCTTTTACTAATAATGTTATCAGTAAATAGTATAACATGTTTAGGCATGAAACTTTTATTTTGTAGTAAAATATAAATCAATTGATACATTTAAATATTGCAAGCAAAAAAACATTAATCGCAAAGTTAACTAGTTTTTCGTAGTCATGAAAAAAGTTGGTAAAATATGTTGTCAGTATATATTTTATTTTGTCAAGCATTAGGAGAAATTTACAGCTAACATGTGTGAAATTAACTATATAGACCACAAAACCTACTTATCGATTCACATCAGTTGATTTGTTCAGAGATGTATCTGGTTCGTAATTTTCTGTACAGTTATTTTTGAAGCCTTCTTAACCTGAAATAATTATTGTCCACTGAAATATAGAGTATTGAACACGTCAAAGTATTGTGACGCTGAAATATACTACGTAAGTAACTATACATAAAACAGCTGACCTGTATGAAGAGATGGTAGAGTAAACCATCCTAACAGCCCGTAACTTACATTAAATATGCTAAATCTTCCTGCTTCCATTTAAAAGTTATGGTTGTAGCCCGCATCGTTTTCTTTCTTCATAACATATAAACTCGTGTAATTCAGAATGCCGTGACAGAAACAATAATAACACAAGCGCGACGTGATCATTTACATCTTTTTGTAAATATTTGGATCTGTTGACAGACTCTTGAGTCGCAGCATGAACATCAGAACTGGTATGCAGGTAGATCCAGCTGACAAGTCATAAATAGGACAAAACACACTTCTTGGATTTCACTGTTAGCCACAGTCCAACGTTTCTAAAAACACAACCAAGTGCCTATACTGAGATAATCCTTACAAAATTCAGTCATGAATATCAGCTTCAGGACAATTCGAACATTTACTGATAGTTGAGGAAAAACGTTTGTTTATAATAAGTTGTACAGGAGAATTTAACAATTTTACTAAGGATGGTATAACAATAATAATTATAACTTACCCTTTAGGTGAATTAAGTGGAAACTACGTAAACATTTCACTGGGAAGATAAGTCATTATGGGATATTTTTATTATTATGCTCAATGAAATATCCCGATACAATAATTGAATAATTAACTTTGAATAGATAGATTAATCGAAATAAAAAGACTTGTTAGAATTCTATTCATTAAAGTCAAACTTTAACAACTTCTAATCTGAAATACTACTAAATCGTCTTTTTCCCAAAAACGAATTTCTTCATAGAATTTGATTGTATGCACATAGTTTATTCTGACTTTCATTATATTAACTAATAAGTTATGCAAGTGAATATAAATTCGTCGTATATAAATAGACAATTCAAAACGTAAAAATATTTGTTGAAAATACGAAAATCTATTCTATTTTTAACTTAAGCATGGCTTAAACCATCTACTGTGCTAAGTCCATTTTACTGCTTTTAGAAATTATCTTCAAAACTATGTTAGTTGAGCATGTTTCTGTTGAAATAATGTAATCTTAAGAAATCAATTAAGCTCAAAAACTATCACTTGAAGTACTCAATTACGCCTAACAAGGTAAATGAATAGCTAGGATCACAGCAATTTCGAAGAATTAACAAATAAACGAATCTATGTTAATCTATCCAACAGTAAGATCAAAGTATTATTAAAGCAGTTCATAGTCTTATGAGATCATTTCAGCAGTTTGAACAAATATTTTGTGCAGTAACTGGTGATCATAGGTTCTTTTTATTTTAGATGTCATTTAATTTGATGCTTCAGGATATATGCCAAGGCGTTTATTTAGTTGGACATAACTGTAGACTGATACTGTATTAACAAGTGAAAAAAACTATTTATTCGGCACGTTTTTGTACTGAGTTTGTTATTACTATTTTGTAAAGATAATTTATGTAACGACCCTGTCGCATCGTGATGAGGCTCAAATGGGACGAAACGTGTGCCCTTAATTCCACCGCTAGCTACTATCAATCTATTCTTAAAGCGTTTGATTAAATTTCTATATTGGGGCAATCCACTGAGGATGTACATATGTGTCGAAGGAAAATGATCAACAACGGGATATTACAAATCCTCGTAAATGTGATTCAGTGTAAAGAAATTAGTTTTATTACTAAACTATCGACCGATGCATAATAATGATAAAATAAGTACTTTCCAGTAAACAATACATTTTTGTTATTATCCGTTCAGTCTCAATATTTTTAAATAGACTCATACCACTACTCAATAATTTTCTCTTTTGTATCGTTCGATAATTTAGAGGTTTCTCAGCTAAATGTTTGTTAGTTTGCTTTAATGAACTGTACGATGATGGAAATTTGATGGATTAGTGAATATCAAATATTGTTTATACAGATTAAGCTTACTTAGAGGGTATAACCAAGTTATGAAAGCTTACTAATCAACAACTGTGAGTATTTAGAATAGAATAACAGATCATCACTTGCTTTTACTCATTTAAATAAAGACATATGTCAACGAAAAATAAATCCGAAAAATTTACATGATCAGAAGTCAATGTAAAAAGAAGTGACTTTTTGGGACAAATTTGATTGAATTCCAGGAATATATCAATGATATTAAACCGTAACTATCAAACTTAGTTTATCAAGCCTACCTAGTTTACACCAAGCGTTGATTATTTTATAGTGAGAAAGACTGAAAAAATAATCCGTAGTAAGTAGTATCTGTCTATAAACCTTCTTTTTCTAATTTACATATTATTATTCTAAGCAATAGTTAGTTGAATTACAAAGAGAATTATTTTGAAAAATTATTGTTCATTTATACATTGAATAGTTCTCTTACTTTTGTAATTTTTCAACTTACTTTTTTTTATCAATATTAAAAACCAAACCAGTTTGAGTATTGCATAATATCGTTGTTATAATATATTATCATACTGTTCTTGTTAATCTGTTATCTTTTCACTTAGGATCTGGTGCATGCAGTGATATTTTAGCTAAAGCATTAGCTGATTTCAAGCGTACACACCAACAGTTATCCGCCAATAATGAAATACCATCGTGTTGTAATTATTCTAATAAATCACATACACAAAATAATGATAATAATGATAACGATGATCTAGACAATAGTAGCACATTTTCATCACATATCCATCCTGGTGTGCAATTAGGACATAGTCGTCACCTTCATTCAGATTATCAACATAATCATTTGTATGATTATGTTGATACCTATCTAGAGGTATCCCTCTATTTGTGTGTTCAGCTTGAATTGATGTTGTGTTTACAATGTTTAAAGTTAACATTAATCAAGTTTGTGTATGATCTAATCGAATCTAACTATTTTTTTGGGATTTTGACTCATTAGCTGATTGAAAGTGTGCATTTATAAATAATGTATGATATACTTAATAGATATGAACTTTTACTCTATGCATATTGAATAGAATGTTTTAAAAATTATAATTCTGATAAAAGTCATAATTATTTAAAAATACCCATCATATTAAAACACTAATATATCTGAACAAAGAATATTCTTTTTAACAAATTCTCTTCGGGTTCCAGATTAACAATTCAAAAAGTGCCCAGATTTAAGGCAAAGTATATTGTTTAAAGTTGTATGTAACATGTGAATTTAGGATTGATAATCAAAATAAAATTGTCAATGTTGAGATAACTAATATACTGTGTTAACTTGAATCAGCTTATACGTTAAATGAAATTCTGGGGTTTATAATCAAAATGAATACGAATCAGATTGTGTTAGAGAAATAATAATGTAATTACAAAAATTGATCAAATCTTTAGTGGAAGACTATATTGTGCCAAAATTTTATCTGCAGGTCGTTTAATAATTCAGAGTATAGGGATAATGTTTGTGCCTTCATGTAAACACTTGTTGATTAAAACTTATTGTCCTATGTATTATTGCTTTTGTGTGTATATGTGTGCAGTGTTTTATCAGTCGATAACTGTCTATTCACTCTTTTTTCAAGTTTTATGCTGTATTGATGTTATTTTAATTGTCGCTTTTTGTCTACTTTGTTGATTTGTTGTATATGCTTCAAATAATATTGTTTGCTTAACCATAAATATTAGTTTGAACTGTCTGTCAAGATGAAAAAACAAACTGTATTCAAATCCCTCACCTTTTTCATTTTTTCGTTTCTTAGGATATGACCACAACCGAAGAACAAGAATTGAGACGTGGAAAAAATAAAAAACGTGATATCAGGGTAAACTGATAAAAGATTTGTGTATTTACAATTATTAGTAAGGGTTGTTAACATTCAGGACTGGATGTTGATCACTCTTTGTTGGGAATATGAGCTTCCTGTAGAGATTCCCTTGATATAGTCATTTTGTCATAGTTTTTATAAATTAGATAGACAGCGGCTAGTAGGGGAATCCATTCGAGGCTCGTCAACTGGATTTAACTTAGTAGATAATAATTAGGGGGTTTCAGATAAAATATTCCGGGTTTGAGATTCAATATGAACACTAACAATGAGGTCCAACTGCATTCAGCTGACAAGACCTTAATAAGATGTAACGTGTATTCTGGGTCCTACTGGTAGCTACAGTTCATCTATCCTAATTATTAATGTTCTGTTTTATTGTTGAAAATTGGAACACAAGTCCTTTTTGTGTTTACTGTGTATGTTTTATTTCAGTTATTATTATTATTATTATTATTACTATTATTATTATTATTATTATTATTATCAAACATCGATATTCGAAATATTGTAGTGTAGGGAAAACTTTATATTCATGTAGTAATTTTGTTATTCAGTTAGTCATAAATCAATTATTTCTATTTCGTAGTTGATGATATAAGTTTGAATCATGTAGCTGGTACTTTTTCCCACATGTAATGCAGCCGTGTATTACCATTCCATGGTGATTTGATTTTGCGATGTATCACAACTGATAAATAAGAATTGTTTGGACATATATACATCATAAATAGTTGTAATGAGAAAGGTAGAATTATTACATATTAAACTGAATTAACTAGTTTATTTATTTCATGTTTCGAAACTTCCTTTAGATATGAGTAGTCACAGTATTCAAATCTCACTTTTTAATTGTAAAGTGAAATTTTAGAATTAATCCAACTGTATTTAAAAATGATAGAAACACGATACTTTGTGTAATAATCACTGTATATGATTAGCTAAAGGAAAATAATTCTAGTTGTCTTAACCGGAACACTTTATGAGTAATTTCGTCTAAATTTGAACGAATAATTTCACAGTAGTGGAACACGGAGTTAACGTAATATATGAAGGAGAGAACCTAAAATTTTAAAAGAATTTCAGAGATAGAACTTTACAAATCCAACATTTCGCTTAGCAAACATAACCACAGATCTCACTTTTGTCATTATTAACACGACTGAATAATTTAGTACTTTGTCTTATTAACAATCAAATTCCACTCTATTTATTGTATAGTATCATATAATATGTATTCAACTTCGGTTTATTGTAGAAATCTCGATTCACTATCATTAACCTTATTCAACGAGCTATCACCCTGCTCAATCTGTTTGCAGCAAGTCAACTGGGTCAAGATCCTGATACATTACTGACGAAATTCAACATGAATAAACATTCTACTCATAAAGGTCAGAAATGTTGAGTCGAGTTGAATTTGTTTGACGTTGTGGTTAAATGTTTGTTAACACAGTTAATTGGTAAAAACATCAACTTACTGTAACGTTTATAAATGTTATGCGACACATTCACGTAATTTTTAAATGGATATTAGTAATGGTTATAACAATGTATTAAATATTTGATAAACAATCTTTCAAAGCTTAGCCCGTTTCGATCTTCTCATCAAACCCTACTTAACATATAGTTCAGTCATCATTGAGGCAAAAGTCAAATAAGATATCGCTTGGTATATTCAGTTCATCACTATGTTGAAAAGTCTATCCAAAGTTCATTAAACATAATCTACTTGATGGTAAATAATTATCTTTTGGAAAATGTTTTATTGGGAAAAAATATTGTCATGTGACAACATGCTGATCTTCATTTTTTAAGGACTTTTCAACATTTCGATCTTACAGAGAAATTTATTTCGAAAAAACATCTGAAATTACGTTTTCAGGGTAATGTATTCAAATATATATAACTAACATAGTATACCCGTTGAAAAATTATATTTTAGTGCTTAAGTAGGGTGAGACAAATAATGGCCTAATTTTTAGCAACTGTTTTAAAAAACTAATCGAAGTGTCTAATTCATGTTTATACATGAACGATAATAAAACTAGTTCACATTTAGATTAGTGATTTCACACAAAGAAGGATGATTGATCTGTTCGTAACGGAACTTAACAGAACTGGCCGTATCGGATATCTGTAGTTTACATCACTAGTACTAAAGTATTCATTTTTATACATTTGTACGACACTATGTGCTTAAACAGTGCTTTTGATAAAATAGTTTGCTAGCTTACATGTAGTAAAACGGATAGGTGAGCAGTGTTTTGACTTTCTGCACCATAAATTTGGATAAGTCAATTAGTTTGTAAAGTGGTACTGTTCAGTGACAACCTTCTCATGCAAAAATTTAAAGTAATAGCTAGGGTGGGTTTAGATTCGAAACGATTCTAGCCAAACAATAAAGTATTTAAGTTTTATTCGTTTACCTCCTTAGGTTTTGGACACCTTATTGATGCTGTATTTCCAGTTTTCACGTAACCTTTCTGTTTTTTCAAGAGTTCTCAAACCTGTCTTCTTCATATTTACTTGGGTTTGTAAATTCAAGGCATCGGTCGACGAATTTCTCTGAGAGGTTTTACGTAGTTTTATCAGTCATCTTGTCAGTAATTAACCCAATTTTCGTGATTACTGTTGGTTACATATGAAGTCAGAAAACAGTATCGACTTCACAGTATATATATAAATATGTTCTAAAACAAATTAATATGAGTTTTCTTCTATAGTACTACTGAAAAAACCTAAATTTTAGCCACATAAAAGGAGGAAAAATAGTATATTTAAAATATTTCGTAGATCTATAAAGTGGGTACAAGCTACCAATAAACTACCATATCGAAAAAATGTGCAAGAAAATAATAGTTACTTCTTAGTAGTATAATTTTACGGTTGTCCATTATAAGTAGTAATCCAAATATTCCCTTTTTTCGAAATAAATCACTATACTACTGTCGCTGACATTTTGTTTATTTTCAGTTGACAAATCAAATTCATCTACGGTAGAGAAAGCCAAAACCCAACACTGGGGAACAATTCGAGCTCGTCTTGAAATTGCTATAAATATGGTTCAAGAAAAAGTAGTTACTCTTAACACATATAAACTAGGTAAAACATCAACAGTCAATTTATACTCTACATATCATACAATGCCAAATATAATTCACTCATGTACAACAAAGTCAGAAATTCCTAATACGGTTCCGTCTGGACGTGAAAGTCCAGATGGGAAAGCTAGTATGCCCATATGTGGTAGTACGATTAGATCCTATGCATCACTACGTAAAGGTTTTAGTCAGGATGAAGTTCCCGGTACTCAAATCGCTTTACCTGTGCAGAATTTACATGATGCCAGTTTACGTGCGTTGTTATATGGTGGAAGACCAGATAGAATATTTTCAAATCCAACTTTGTATAACGATAAAAATGAACTCACTTCATGCACAGGAGATATGGATGACACAGAAAGCGGCTCATGTGAAACATCGGAGGTAAGTGTATTTCCAGTATTATTTCTGACAGTAAACTTTATTTAACTTAGAAGTGTAATGCCAGAAAAAGCAACCGCAGGTTGTTTCCTCGGCTTGAATTGGTAGGAAAGTAGTCGTATGACCTTTATCTAGTTCTTTTATCGATTAGTTCATTTATGTTATCAGTAGGACCGGTAACCTATTTACCGACTAATACATCGACCAATCAACAGTAACGAAGGCATTAACGCTTATTGGTCCCCCAGTTCATTCTAGCGCAGTAGCCAATCACAAGAACAAGGTAGAGAGTGGATCACTTCTATTTCATTAAATTCAATTATGAATCAAGTGAAATCTTGACCACACATTAACATAACTAAGAAATCACAATAATCTCATAAGCATGTTATAAATGGAAGGAAGCTCAATAAGAGGTCGGAAGTGAATTGAAGGAAATTTAAGAAATGTACAGCACATTATAACACTTTATGTATCACAAAAAAGGTTACAAATAGGATAATGCACGACAAAGAAGGCAAAACAATCACCGAGATTCAAGATGATAGGAACAGATGGGTTGTGTAATTCGAGGAACTGTTGAATAGACCAGCTTCGCTGAACCCACGGGACGTAGAAGCAACACCTACAGACCTTCTTATAGATGTCACTCCACTAACGATGGGAGAAATCAGGATGGCTATCAGACAAATTAAGAGTGAGAAAGCAGCAGGACCTGACAATATACCAGCCGAAGCTCTGAATTCAGACATAGAAGTAACCGCAGAAATGCTCCATGTTCTATTTAGGAAAATTTGAAGGAAGAACAAGTGCCGATGGACTGGCAGGAAGAATACCTCATCAAGATATCGAAGAAAAAAGATCTGAGCAAATGTGGGAACTACAGAGGCATTACACTAATATCAGTACAAGAGAAAGTTTCCAACAGAGTGTTGTGGGACCAAATGAAAGACTTAGTAGATGCTCAACTTCATGATAAACATACCGCATTTTGTAAGGATCGGTCTGCACACACCAAATTGCGAAACTGCGGATCATCATGGAATAATCAATTGGATGGAACTCGTCACTATACATAAACTTCATTAACTTTATTTATCTATTTATTTGAACACATAAGTATTGGTACAAAAAGGCACCAGATAAATATGCGCCAGACAAATCTTATTTGATTTGTGTGAGAACTGTGATACTGTCCGGGTGTCCAGACCGAAGCAGGTGGTTTCCTTATAGGGCCACACCCGGACCCTTTGACCTAAAGATCTGATCCACAAGGCAGTGGAGCATCGTAAGAAGATGCAGTCCCATGGTAGCCGGTGACCAGCGATTGATTCATACGCCATTTGTTCCTTCAGGATACTGGAGCCCATGTGCACCATTGGTTTGGAATCAGGGTTTTCCAACTTCCCTAGGTGGATTCTCCGTGTCCACCAACCCGATTAGAGTACCAGACATTCGCTTTTCGTCCTCTCAATTTCGTAAACAACAGTAGTGACACGAAAAGGCAGTGAGTAGGACTTCCCTGGGAGAGGCTATATACGCGTGGCCATGTGAGAGCATTTCGAGACGGAAAGCGAACTCTCCCCACTCTCGGCCATATCAGGCCATTTGGGGGCTATGAAAAAGCATTCGACAATGTGGATAGGAGGAATTTATAGAACCTTGTTTGACACTACCGTGTACTCGAGAAAATCGTCAATATCATCCGGAATTCATGCGACGGACTGCAGTTCAAAGTCATGCACGGAGAACAGCTGACTGATGCATTCCAAGTAAGGACAGACAAGGCTGTCTACACTCCCCCTTCGTCTTTCTTCTGTTGGTTGACTGGATTATAAAGACCTCGACATCTGAGGGAAAGCACGGAATACAATAAACAGCTCAAAATCAATTAGACGATTTGGACTTCGCAGATGATCTCACCCTCCTATCCCATATACACGAACAAATGCGCCAGCTGGTGTAGCAACAATCTCTGCATCAGTAGGCCTCAACATACACAAAGGAAAAGCAAGATACTCAAGTACAACACGGAGAACACCAACCCAACCACACTTGATGGAAAAACTCTGGAAGATGTGGAATCTTTCACGTTCCTGGGAAGCATGATTGATGAACAAGGAGGATCAGATGCAGACGTAAAGACGAGGATTGGTAAATTAAGGACCGCATTCCTGCAATTGAGGATTATATGGGACTCAAAACAACTGTCAACCTATGTCAAAGTCATAATCTTCAAGACAGTTCTACTGTATGGAGCTGAAATTTGTAGAAATACTACAACCATTATCAAAAATGTACAAGTATTTATAATTAGTTGTTTATGCAATATACTCAATGCCCGTTGACCGGATACCATCAGCAAAAGCCTACTGTGGAAGAGAACAAAACGTTGGAATTGGTTAGGACATACATTACGGAAATCACCAAACCTCATTACGAGGCAAGGGCTAACTTGAAATTCCGAAGGAAAACAGAAAAGAGGAAAACCAAAAAACACACTATGCCTGAAATTGGAAGCAGACATGAAAAGGATGAATTGCAACTGGAAACAACTGTAAATGATTGCCCAGTAGATTGCCATTTAGAGACAGACCAGTTGCAGTCCTAACAAATCGATGGGAAGATTCAAACAAACAATACTGAATGAATTTAAACGTCACCCCATCGCACAAGCAAGTGGCTATCAGGACTCAGTGGCCGAGTGGATAACGCGATGTCGTTTGAAGCGAGGGTACTGGGTTCGAGTCCTGGAGTGAACATCAACTCTGAGATGCAGGTACATTCAGCTGACGAGTCCCAAATAGGACGAAACGCGCGTCCTGGATTCCACTGCTAGCCACTATCCATCTCTGCTTACCATGCTTGTGAATTAATGTATATCGAGGCAATACGCACAGTATGCACATATGCCAATTAGAGACTGACCAGTTGCAGTCCTAACACATCGATGGGAAGATTCAAACAAACAATACTGAATGAAATTAAAAATAAAATGTTAATTTTATAAAGACCGAACAGTTCTCACTTAATGTAAATTTATAAAACTTATGTATAACTTGATCTCTTATTAATTTTAAACATGAGTATTCGAACTTGTCATATTTTAAACCACAGGTCATTGCATGAATCTAATGACAACTAACGTTTAAACAAATAAAATGCAATGAAAAAGTAGTTTATCTTTTTCTCTTACTATTCGACGTTCCTTTCTTGATGTAAACCATGTTTAATTTAACTGGTGAACAAATTTTGTTGACTTCTATTGTATCTGATATTTCTTATTATGCACTCTACATTCTCACACGATCATAAAGTGAACATAATTGAACCATAAACCTAATTCTTATGTCTTATAGCGTATTACTGTAGGTTAGATTAAGGCTAACACTACTTTCTTTTTAGGAGGAATCTCAATTCTAGATATTGTTTGGCGGTATTTTACTATATTACTCTATGATTTATAATATTACATGAAAAAGTATTTCGCCATTTTCACTTTTTCTATCAATTGAACTAAAGTTTCTGTATCCTGAAGCGGAACGCGCTGTGGTGCATGTTGTACGTCGATACCTCTGTCCTGCTTTACGTGATCTTATTGAACATGGTCTTATAAAGAAAGCTTTACAGAAAGCTGATGAAAATTCACCTTTGGGTTTAACAAATAAGCGAAGCATTTTACTACTTCGTCCTATCCTGAACTGTTTAGACTCAAGATCGAGAAATCACTCAGAAGATAAATTTGAATGCTTAGATTTGAACAATCTATCAAGTGATTACATTGATACAAACTCTTTTTCGGGGTCCCGTTCTAATTGTATAGGAATCCATGCGTGGGATGTATTAATGCGTTTTTATCAGATTAAGGTGAGTGAAATCTAAGTGTAGTCGAATATTTTATCATTTAAATTCCATTTTTAAGTAAAACTATGTTTAAATATTCACATAAACTTTAAGTTCAAGCAAATAAAATACTGAATATTTGTGTCTCTTGAACACGTTTATGTCTTTATTCAGTTGATCTTTATGTTATTCCAGTTTACTTAAAGGTTCATGGTTCGATTAAATTTTAGTCAGTGTACTTATTTTTATTTGATTCTGACCACATTTAACATATTTTTCCAGAATAAATTGCAATTAAAAATAGACAACTGTTTGATTAATTTGTCTTAGCGAACAGAGTTAACTGTTAGGTTTTCATTGCAGGAGTAGTCAATGAGACAATTAAATCTCGTTCGGTCACTCATATTATCAAAGTAAAGTTGTAGACTACTTTTTTACTAATTAAGTAGTTTTGTGAATTTAAGTTATTTTTGCAACATGAAATAATAACATTCAAAATACTGTTGAAATTTCTTTCAACCTAATCCTATGTCTTATACGAATATTCCTCAATATTAGAACAAATAGTCTGACAAAAATTGGGCGCCGAGAATAGAAAGGACATTACATGTGAAAATCATATCTGAAGTAATTTCAATCGCTGAGATTACTGAGGATATGATTTTACCATAATAATTCCGTCATTTTACTATAAGTTATAATTTTAATGATTTGATTGTTAAGAAATGCTCGCATTTTATCTTCGTTTGAAATTGTTAAAAGTTATATTTTCTAACTATTAGAATGATTCGACCCTAGACGTGATTAGTAGCCAAAAATTTATTCACTGATGTTTTTTCATCGATTCACTTAATATCTTTGTTATCACTAATTTTATAAAGAAATTTGTATGACAAATGAAGTTACATAAATTATGCTCACCTTATTTGACTGTTCCATACATTAATAAAATCATCTACCTCATGATTTTATGGAGTTTCTTAAAGAGCACGACAGTCTTTTAGAGGTTTATTCTTCAATATCGTGGAACTCTTTCTAAAAACAGTATACTCACAGACATCAAGTGGATATTTGTCAGATTACTATAATCCCCTTAGAATTATAAAAGTAATATTGAAAATTCTCGGGTTAAATTAGAATGGATTCCTTACGTTTTTGATCCATTAATAGGCACATTTAGCGAAATATTTATTGACTAGAAAAAATTTAAAATGATATGAAATTTTCTATTTAGTCAAATTGCTGTCTTAGCTATAGGTCAAGGGAACAACTAACCGACAAAGCGATTAATCTAAAACCTGAAAAGAATCACAAATTTCCGGAAAAAAAGGAATATGGTTATCTAATTAGGAAACTGTTTAGAAGATAAGAAATGTCAAAATAGATTTGATAACTGTTTACTTTATTTAAACAACGTATAGTTAAAATTTGTTAAATGTTAGAGTTTTTCACTATATCATAATGTCTCTACCTACACTTCTAACATTTTTAATTCAATTCAGTCGGATACAAATACCTGGACGTCTTAATTATAATCTATTATGTATTAATTTGTATTGAATTAAATCTGTTATGTTTTAGAATGGTCCACGGTATAATGAGTCTCCGGTGAGAAAACTTTGTGAAAGCTTCGATTTAGATACAATTGATGGTAAAACAATCACGAATCGTCAGGTAACTAGCTAATACAAATTTTTAATCGTTTTTAATCATAATCTAAATAAGGGAGTTTTAGGAAAATAGAAGTGTTTCTGTTGAAAAAATCAGATCTCTAAGGAATATTTTAAAATCATCTGTAGTTCATATCTTTCGTTTATGGTAAAACAACATTTTACGGCATACATATCGTGATCAAGTGTTAACATCAATGTGTAATGTATTATCTACTTACCCGTAGAAAACTAACGCCAACCAGAAAAAATTATTCAAACCATTTAATCTCTGCCCTGGAGTTGGAAGTTCTTCATCTAAAAGAGTTATGACGCCTCATGATGAAACCAGAGTTCCTTCGGAAGCCACGAAGCCCATGTCCCTTCTGACAACCAGAACAACCATTTATCTAGAAACATAAAATGCTCGTACAATGTGGGAATCGGGATAGTCTTTTAAAACGCTGAAGGAATAAGGAGATAAAATCTGGAGGTGCTTGGGATAGGCAAAACACAGTGGACGCAGGTTGAACAACAACGAATAAATTCAGGGGAGCTTCTATTATACTCCGGTCATGAAGAATAAAATGCCCTACATACACAAGGAGTTGCATTGATGCTGTCCAAACAATCACAAAATGCACTTATAGAATGGGAATCCCATGGACCAAGGATCATCAAAGCCTCCTTCAAAACAAAGAAAGAGGGCATTACAATGAACGTCATCCAATGCTATGCACCTACGGACGACTACGATGAAGACGCCAAAGACCAATTCTTCGAAATGTTGCAGTCGATTGTCGAGAAGTGCCCAACCAAGGACCTGACCATTCCGATGGGAGATTCAAATGCCAGGGTTGGAATGGAAAACACTGGGTACAAAAATGTAAGGGAACGACATGGACTGGGAGAAAGGAACGAAAATGGTGATAGATTTGCAAACCTATGTGCCTTCAATAAACTGGTCATAGGCGGCACAATATTCCTACACAAACACCTACATAAAGCCACATGGACTTCACCGGATCACACTACACAGAACAAAATTGACCATATCTGCATCAACAAAAAGTTCAGGAGGACGATGGAGGATGTGAGAACCAGGAGAGGAGCCCTCAACAACGAGTTCCAGGCCTTTCACGATCTACTCAATGGGGCGGAAACTACTATGGAGATCAACTGGAAAGGGATAAAACAGGCAATCACTTCAACATGTCGGGAGGTTCTGGGCAACAGAACTCACCATCGCAAGGAATGGATCACTGTTGGTACACTGAATAAGATTGAAGAAAGGAGGAGCAAGAAGGCAGAAATCAATACCAGCCGAACAAGAACAGAGGAAACCAAGGCCCAAGCTGAATACACAGAAGCAAACAAGCGAGTGAAAAGTGCATCAGAACCGGCAAACGTAAATATGTGAAAGATTTAGCAATGACAGCGGAAAAGGCTGCAAGAGAGGGAAACATGTGACAATTGTATGATACAACAAAGAAACTTGCTGGAAATTACCGTAAGCCAGAAATACCAGTGAAAAGCAAGGAAGGCAAAGTAATCACCGACATTGAAGAACAACGAAACATGTGGGTAGAACACTTCAAAGAACTCTTGAATCGACCAGCTCCACTGAACCCACCCAACATCGAAGCAGCACCCACGGACCTCTCAATCGATGTTGGCCCACCAACTATTGAAGATATCATCATGGCCATCAGACAAATCAAAAACGGCAAAGCTGCGGGATGAAGCAACATTCCAGCAGAGGCACTGAAAGCAGATGTAGCAGTAACTGCAAAGATACTCCACATTCTCTTCATTAAGATTTGGGATGAATAACAAGTACCAACAGACTAGAAAGAAGGACTTCTGATCAGGATATCAAAGAAAGGCGATCTAAGCAAGTGCGATAACTACAAGGGCATCAATCTTCTCTCAATACCAGGAAAAGTATTCAACAGGGTATTGTTAAACAGAATGAGGGACTCCGTAGACGCCCAACCGGGAGACTGACAGGATGAATTTCGTAAGGATAGATCGTGTACAGACCAAATCGCAACTCTACGTATCATTGTGGAACAATCAATCGAATGGAATTCATCACTCTACATCAACTTCATTGACTAAGAAAAAGCATTCGCTAACGTGGGCAGGACAACACTATGGAGGCTTCTTCGACACTACGGAGTACCTGAGAAGATAGTCAATAACATACGGACTTCCTATGATGGACTAAACTGCCAAATCGTTCATGAAGGATGAATCACCGACTCTTTCGAAGTAAAGACGCGTGTTAGGCAAGGTTACTTACTCTCACCCTTTCTCTTTATCCTGGTGATCGACTGGATCATGAAGACGTCAACATCTGGAGGGAAGCACGAGATACAGTGGACAGCTAGGATGCAGCTTGACTAGTTAGACTTCGCAGATGATCTGGCTCTTCTATCACACATGCAACAACAAATGCAGGAGAAAACGACCAGTGTAGGAGTAGACTCAGCAAAACAATTAACATTGTTATCATTATTATTCATTATTATGTGTCCTATCTAAGTATCTTCTCGCATTCCTTGTTCCATTCAACTTTATCAGCACTGAAAATGAAAGTATAAGTTTGACTTTCGTAAATCACTTGATTTATCTTCGATCCTGATGAATTATTCTTGCATATTCGAAATTTGTTTGACTCATTTCTCCATGAAAGTGTTTAGTTCTTTTCCTATCACATGTCGACAGCTTAAAGTAACTTCTGCAACAGTTTAAATGTAGTTCATTCAATGCTGTACCGTTCTCTACAAATGATTCGTATGCTGGCATTAAGTTTTTACCACCAGAAAGCAGTTTAAGTGGAACTTAGCTGAGGGCGTTTGTTTTTTTACAACTGTTTGTCTACAATCTATCAGGATATTCATCAAATCATTTATAAGTAATAAATAGTTTAGTCTCATAATTAAATCACTTAGTGGGTAATTTCGATTAACAACCCAAACGTTTAAGAGTAGAGTGTTTTGAATGTGTGAAAATACTTGAAATTATCGTTGTGTTTTTTCTCTACTGACAGTTCAGGTTAGTATGTACAGGGATTATATTATTTGTCCATTCAACCCCTTAAACAAAAACTAATAAACTATAAATCAATTGTATTTCTGTTAGTTTGAAGTCTTCAAGATGGTCAATAAAATTTACTTGTATGGTTTCTTGTATCTACTTTTAATTAAATATATTTTCATTATGTAACCTATATGATACATTATTTGACAGTGAATACGACCTACTTTACCTGGTTTATATATATATATATATATATATATATATATATATATATAAGCATCAAGTCAATCATAAACAGATGTTTATCTTACATTTTAACATTTTTTACTCTCTCAAACTGTATTGCTACGCTGCAGATTGAATTTATATAATATACTGATAGCAAACTTAATATACCCAAATAACTGATTCACTAATCATCGTATTAATGATTTATTCATCTAATTAGATCAGTTATTGTAATTTAATAATTTAGTATATTATGTATGCAAAAAATGCATGACTATATGAGTAAATGAAGTATGTTTTGTGAAAAAAGGAGACTTGTCTAATTAGTTTTTCTTTAGAGAAGTAGAATAAAATTGAAGTAGATACAATTAGCATAGAATATATCAAATATATATACAGTTACATTGTATAATTAGTAGTATTTTTTTCAGGATTATTATTCTACATTAAACTCATATTCTCAGGCAACAAAAATAAGTAACCAATCTTATAAAGTAAAAACGACAATTAATATAATGTTTTTCAAGAATTTAGTGATAACAGAAGGCCACAAGTCGATTTATGTAGAGTGGATAACAAGTTAAATAACATGATAGAATGTTAGCAGACATTGTACATAAAAATTGAGGATTTTTTAGTAGCTTCTTAAAAGGTGTGTTTTGATTTTAAATTTTGATTGTACTAGTTGGAATCTCATTGGAATTATATATGTCGTTGAGGTTGCAACAATAATTAATCGATAAGTATTATCAAGGATGGAATCGTGGTGAATAACTTTCTATGGAGCACTTTTAACAACAAACGTAAAGTGTAAGAACTTCAAATAAGTCAATAAAACAATATTCACACATAGTCATTCTTGCAGTTTCAATTTTGAACAGAGACTTTCTCATCAAAATTCTTCATATTATGGCTGATCTATTGTTCAATTAGATGTCCAACACTCAAAAGACATTTATGAACTTCGAAAGTTTAAAATTATTTTCTTGGGAACGTGTAAAATCGTATGTACATTTGTTAGTATCATTAAATCCTCTAATTGATTAGTTTGATTAGTGTATGTACCTTCATATTTGGAGAGTTCTACTAAAAAAGTTTACTTTATAGCTAGATGAAACAACATTGTGATGAGGTCTATTCAATGATATGCAATAATTAGAAGCTCATCGTTTCAAATCCAATAACTTTATTGATTTCAGTTGAATAATGTACAATTTTTTGCAATATAATTATTCATTGAATACGTTTACTTATCGTCCCACTTCTTAACTATACAACTAAACAACATTTAATAAAAATTATTAAAAAAATAAATATGTATATTTTATTAATTATTAATTGCTTTTTAAACATTTAATTCCAAGTAGTCAAAATTTAGCAGATCATGTTTGGTTATTGTACTTTACTTTAGAAATTTTTCAGTGCAATGGGTAATGTTCTTCAGGGTCACGTGGCATACAAACGCAGTAAAGATGCCAAGTTCAAAGCATTCATTAGTATTGCACTGAAGTAAGTATATTTGCTTAGAAGTTTTTTTAAAAGGTTCTGATAATGCGTGTCAGAACGTTTTCCATAACCATTTTTGATTGATGTACATTCGTACCAAGCCCTTTGCTGTCTATGACCGACTCATATATCATTATATACATAATCTATTTGAAAAACTTTATTTATCTTCCATTATTTCTGATTTTAAGACACGAATATTATTTTTCTTTTGGTTGTAAATTCTCACAGACTTCCAAAATACAGATTGAAAATATTAGTATTTTGTGGTCTATGATGATCTGTAATTCAGTTGAGTATTTTTTTTAAAATTAATTTATTCATTATCATCAATTTTAATGATACAAAATCTTGTCAGTCAGTCTGTTATCAAAGAGATTGTTTTCCACTGTTCGACAAAAGACTGTCTACACAAACCGTTTTCAACCAGCCAACAATAAAATCTTACGAGTCATTTTATATTTAAACTCGATTATAAAGCCAAAAATACTGAAAAATTGAATAGTGATTAAACCTTGGTGATGAAAATGAATTTTATATTAACCGGTGATATGGAGTAGAATCAACAAGCTCATATAATGAAAATGGATAAGCGAAAATGTTTTACCTTGATCCATTGTTCATGGCTCCTCTGCACAAAAACCTAAAATTTATTTCATTGCAGTTACTAATCAGCGACAGTAAATAACTAAAGATAAGTCCCAAATAACTAAAATTTATGAAATACAACCATTTCTATTGACTAGGCGTTGTAACTTTTCAGACAGTGTAATGTAATGTTTATAGCTTTCCGTTTAAGAAATAAACTACCTTAATGGTCATTAAAGCATCGAAGAAGGATCATGTTAAAGTATTTGATGTTATTGGATGTCTGCTTCAATATTTGGAGTACCCAGTTCTACCATCTAGATATTTAAAGTTATTGTTTTTTGTTATCTTTAACACATGATGTACGTCTCTTTATCGCACAGCCTATCAAGGCGAGTATATAAAACCTTTAATACCTAACGCTTACAAGGTATGCAAAAGTACGTTCAGAGACATCGTGGAGTCTGGCAATATGCATTATAAATAATGAACGTTTGTAAGTTGTCGATTCTTCAATAACTAACTTCCAACCGCCGATCACTAATTGGATAGGTGGACAATATTCAGTTACCACGAAGTCTAAACATGTGTTGTAATTATGGTGTAATCGTAATTCAAAAATCCTGGTTAGATGATTAGTATCTGTTAATTTAAAATAATATAATGAAATAATACTGATTCCAATAAGTTCAGAACTTCGACAAGATAAAAGTAAGAACTCAACTTCGAGGTACGCGGTATGAAACTGCATGATATGGTTATGACACATTTAAACACAACATAAAGTACCCAGTTGTGTAGTAAATGTATTGGTTATTCACTAAAGTATCACTGAAGGTTTACAACATTTATCGAAAAGATCAACCAAGCAATCAGAAAAGGTTCGGTGGTGGTGTAGGAACGTTTGTAAATTTAAATCAGCGCCGATCTGATTTTGCATATGTTAAGTTTTCGAATGGCTTTATTGACTGTTTGACCTATACATATCGCCCAAAACACTGGAACACATACAATTATGTTTATGTCACCAACATTTACGTAACTCCTCACTTTTGATCGTCTGCATTATCTGTTTTTATTGATGTATTCAGCAAATTTGTTTTAACTGTCTTCAATGGTTCACTTTCAACTATATGTGGTGGTTTTAATTCATCTGGTTGTAGCTTTCTGTCTTCGCTAGATCACTAAAATGTAGTCGATCTTCTTAGACTAAGTTTTCATTTATGATGTGGAAATATATATGACTCTTAACATATCTTATTGTTTAGCGCTGATCATTTTATTATTCATATCCCACCTAAAGTATATGGCAAGCTTGGGAAGAGTACACTCTTATATCAGATAAAGTTAAATACTGGAATTACTCAGAAGATAATATTCAAGACCTGAGAAAACATGTTTCGTACGGCAAATTGTGATTGCTTACAAATGACACATTGGAAAACACCGTTGATTTGTCACTTGTTATCTCAAGTTCTACTTTGATGTTTGTTGTCTTACTAGAACTTTTTTTGTGAGTTTTGATAGACTTACATCCCCACAAATAAAACCATTGTGGAGGGAGAAAGAAAGAACCTACAAGGGAAAAAATTCCGCTGGATTTCAAAAGTTTAATGGTCTAGTAGACCGAGAAGTTATACATCTGAATTTGATATTTACTCAGAAACTCCTATATTGTAAAAACTCTTCATATGTACGGAAACCATTAGAAAAGATTACAGATTGGAAACTCATTAGTGATGATACTTACCTGAATATTTGTGACTTAAATAGGTCTTTCGTACGACAGCCATTTGATGTCATGCTTCCTATATCCATAAGTTTGAGTAAGAGTTGTATTTCAATTTTCACTGAAACTGATGTTCGAAAACGTCCCCAATTACTTTACTCGTCTCGATATTTAGGACGTGACGAAATCCCAAACCTTCATTTTAAGAGGTGTGTTGGCTTTCTGTGCCATTCTTTCACGAGTATGTATGACGAATCCTTCTTAACTAATTTTCTACCGAAAATACAGAGAAAGGTAAAAATAATCACAACATCAAAGAAAGTATCTTTGATAAGAATTTAAAATTTAGACCCATTGCATTGGCTTCAGCTTTTTTCAAAACTGCTGAAAAACTACTACTGTTCTAACCTCAACCAGCATTCATGGAGCATATTGATCCATATCGGTTTGATTGCCGGTGCAAAATAAGTACCTTAGATTCTGTTGTTCTGCATCATAATGTAGTGTTCAGCCTGGAAAAGGTTAAGAAGCTTGTTCGATGGGTCTTTCCAGATTATAATTCTGTCTTTGATTCTATATCAAGAATGTTACTACTTAACACGTTTGCCAGCCTCAACACGACGGCTGGCTAACCAACTGGCTGCGTTCTTTCCTCTCTGTAGTAGAACAGTATACATCGTTTTGAGGAAAGTGTTCAAAGTCTTTATTTGGTCACGAAAGTTTCCTACAAGGAGCTGTTCTTTCCTCTTTTCTTTCCTGAATTTTCCTGCATGATCTGACAACTTCCAAAGAAAACACTTTTGGGAACTATACGGACGACCTCACTGTATGTATGCCAGTTTCTACCTCTTCACATCCCATAGAAATGAACGAGTTTTTGTTTCATATTGAGTGGTGGTCTATAGGTAATGGTTTCTTACTTAATCCATCTAAATATCAAACTGTTAACTTTAGCCTGAGACATAAACTGCACCCAAACTCCCTCTCAGGACACCATAAGGCTTGTGCCATAAGAGATTCCTTGATAAACATAGTGTCAAAAGTCATTTGCCTTGTAGTAATATTTCCTCTGATCTCTCTGGGTCTTCTCATGTTTCTTACGCTATCCAAGAACGTTTTCCGACTGACTTACTACGTAAAGAGGCTGCATGCTTTTGAGAATACTCAACATTTATTCTCACAATTTGTCGATTCTTGCATATTACCTATTATTCTTTACTGTTCTGCATCATTCTTTCCCGGGCTTTCGAAAAAAGACTTTGCTTTATTGCAGAGAGTGCTGAAGACGGTTAGCAAGGTGTATAGTGAATCTTTTGAGGTCACTATGAATAAGCTTGTGAATAGACATCTAAAATCTTCCAAACCCCTGAAAAGTGTAATTTTATCAAATACTGACCGTCCACTTCATTCACATCTTTCTCATTGTATATCTTCTGGTAGAACGAGACCTAAATACATTAAAATCCATGCACGCAAGCAAATCCATAAAAGTTCTGTAATACCTTACCTACCAAATATACTCTGTGACGAACAGGTTGTTAGAATTAACTTAGCCAATAATCTGTATTCTTAAACATGCCACAAATTCGATAAGTTGTAGACTCTTATTTTATTAAAAACTGTTTCATTTATTTCCACGTAATTTATTTATTTATTTCATTTGTGTTTGTATGCAGCTGTTGATCTTATTTTTTGTTATTGTTCAAGAAACTGGTTGAAATACTTTGTTCTGAGAATTCCATATTGTACTAAACAAATAATATTGAATGAAGCCATGAATAATATTAATAATTTAGTGAAGCTAGATGACATCTTCGCTTTCTAAATCTTACTATAAATCTCAACTCTAGGTTTTGTAAGTTTGCCAGCAGAAGAATGGCAGAGCATCGGATTATAGCTGATGTCAGTTCACGATGATAACTTTAACTCTAATTTTTAAACCTAACTCAAAACTTTAGCCTAACTATTAATATCTAACCCTAACCTTTTTGCCTCATAATCACTGTCAGTTGATGGAAAAAACTCTATAGGGTTATAACCTTAGCCACAACACTAGGCTGACTATTATATATGTAAAAATTAACCTTTCTGTTCTAAGTCAAGGGATAATTTGACTTTCGAGGGTTGATTATTCAGATCGAAGCTATTATTCCACTGTGATTTTACTGCTTTCTATTGTTAATCGTTTGAAAACTAGGCAGCGTTTCTTTATTGGCTGCTTAGTTCCCTCAAGGTCGTCAATATAGTATACTAAATATACTAAATATAGTATACACAATATTTTGTTCTAATAATTAAATTTATTTGTCAATTATAAAATCGGAAAAAAATTCATTTCTAATAATTTCATTTTCAATTAGTTTTTAATATGAAGAGAAATACTTCGCGTTTACACTAAGTACTGTACATATGTCATTAATTATTTCTTTACAAAAGTTTAACAGTATAGCTTATCTTCCCTGTGACCAAGTATCAGTTATATATATATATATATATATATATATATATATATATATATATATATAGTAGTGAATACTAACTAAACTTAGTAAGATTAGTCAAGTTGATTTGCTCTCTTAGTCGTTTTTATTGTTTGTGTGCACAGTATTATCCAGTTGCAACCCTTTATCATTGAGTCTTCATGAAGAAAAGTACCAAGCTCATTTCCTATTGCTTAATTGTAAATAATCAACTGGGATAAGTATAAAATCACTACACAATATCGTCGGATTGATTGACGACACAAATCATTATGGATATTTGCTATCTCTCAAACAGAGTGACTGAAAGTACACGACCAAAGTATAATGAGATTAATTCTAGTGGACTATGAGCAGACAAATAATGTGTAAAATCTGTAATTCATATCAAGTCGTAGGCTTTTATTATATTTAAATACATTTTTTAGGGTACGCAAGCAAGTCAAAATTATTTCCCAAATATATTGGCATTATCTTGTTGAAACATTCAAGCTACAGATCTTTACAAACTAGCTCACTCTATTAATAATAAGTCAGTTAGTTTGCATAAATAATTATTTTCATTTCGAATAGGCAAAAATATCTTCCGGTCACGCTTAAAACACCGATGTGCTTAACTAGAAAAACTATTCAATCGTGTTCAATACCTAATTAATCACACCAGCACTACTTATAAACTCTTCAAGAAGACTCAATATTTTTCCTCAACTTTGTGTTAGATTATAGATAAATGAACAGACAAAAACTATGTAAGGCCTATAAGGTCGAAATGTCATATTATTGCTGAAAGAGGGAACTTGATGCTTATATCAACTATAATACAAAAGGTTCTCATTTACCACAAATAACCTAAAATATTTCTTTACCAAAATTATGAAGTGAGTTAAAAACTTGTTAGATAGTTCATGTAAACACATATCCAACCAAACGTTTTTCTGTATTTTGAACTCACTTTGCAACTTAGCTTTTAAATGTTACAAATTGTAAGTAGCTGATAAGAGCCCGACACAAAAGCCTCATGTTTGTATCCTGGAAAACTATCAATTTGCTATATACTTTTAAACAGTTGAACGAGTTTTTTTCACATCAAGGATAGTTTTCGGTTGTGAGGCCACCACAAATGCAGGTCGAATAAACCGGTTTTGTGAGCACACAGTGATTTTTGGCGCTATCAGGACTCTAGGGTTTGATTTATTGACTGATAAATATCATCCACTCTCCTTCATTGATTTCTTTGTTACCAACCAGGAAATGGTTCTGGGAGTCAAAGAAGCTGTTTTTCATAATTGAGCACACGTTATATGACAACACGATCTATTTATGTAATATGGAACGCTTATCATGAAATATTGATATACTGTCCAATCCATCCGCTTGATGTCTACTAAAATCACAATATATCAGGAGACTCCTAAAACCTAGATAAACGATCATTAAGGATAAACATTTATGCCATTAGTAGTTAGTCGTATATTTAGCTGATATATAGAAGATACCGTCGACGTTTGTTTATTTATTTTTTGTTTTATCTCCCACCTTTTTATGTATGACATAAGTATGTTTTAAGTACAGATCATCATGTTTGCAAGCTGAAAAAGTTAAGTGACTTTATCTGACCTGCTACCACAAAATTGACTGTCCTTTGTGTTTAAATTTTGAATATGCAAATTTAAGTAATATTTTTCATTTTATTTATTTAATCACATATATATTAGTACAAAGTTCACCGGATACATATGCGCCACACAAATAATGAGAATGGGAGGAGAAGGAAGAAGATGCGTATATATAAAGGAAGGAAAAAAAAGGAGAAGAGTAATGATGGGGGGAACTGAAATGTACAACCAGAAAAGCTCTCTCAGTTAGGAAAGTTAGAACCACTCTTTGTGAAGAAAGTAGAAGAAGATTACAGCAGGATCGCCACTGGATTTTATTCTGAGCCATATCTGATAACGTCTCTAGCCACTGTGTTACACCATCTCTCGGACCCCAGACAAGGAGTCGTGGAGGACCAACAGAAGCTAGCCCTTTGCAGCTTTCTTTCATACCACGACACCATGTCATGCACTGACCTCCTCTCCGCTTTTTCCAACCAGTCCCAGAGTCGGCAAATGATGCACGACGTGGAAGTCTCTGGGACGACATTCGTAAAACATGTCCAAGCCACCGAAGTCGGTGTTTCAAGATGGTGACACCAATTGAATTATCGTCTCTGCACCCGAACACACAATGCCGAACCTCTGCATTACTAACATGGTGTTGCCACTGAATGTCAGCAATCCTTCGGAGACAACGATGATCGAACACAGAGAGACGTCTAACATCCTCAACTCGGAGAGTCCAGGTTTCACAAGCATAGAGCAAAACTGCTCTCACCGACGCGTTGTAGATCCGACCTTTTACAGCCAGACTAACATCACGAAGGCGCCAAAGATGGCCCAGATTGGCATAAGCCGCTCTGGCTTTCACTATACGTTGATTGATCTCATCACTCACGCCACCACCAGCACTTATGTGGCTACCTAGATACACGAACTTCTCAACTACTTCAATCTGCTCACCACCCAGGGTGAGTGCAGGATGAGAATCCTGCTAGTGTTGTAGAAGTACTTTGCACTTGGAGGGTGCAGAGCACATGCCGTACCTGCGGACACTGATTGCCAACTGATTAAATGCGGATTGCATGCCTTGGGCATTATCGCACAGTAAGACAATATCATCCGCATACTCGAGGTCGAGAAGTCGTTCTCCAGGCAACATATCCACACCGCCATTACTTACATCCATCAGAGCTGTTTCCAGAATGTCGTCAATGGCAAAATTGAAGAGGAATGGTGAGATTGGGCAACCCTGCCTAACCCCACTGGTCGAATGGAACAAGGGAGAAAGGTGGTTGTATGCCCTTACTCTGCCTGAGGTGTTCGTATACAGGGCCTTTAAGATGTTAATGAACTTCTCAGGCACACCCTTCTTCAATAGACAATCCCAGAGAACAGTCCTGTCCAACGAATCAAAGGCAGTCCTGTTATCAAGAAACACTACGATTGTTGGCCTGCGACAAGTATGACGGTGTTCTAACATTTGGCGGAGGGTGAAGATGTGATCAATGCATCCTCGATCAGAACGAAAACCAGCCTGCTCCTCGCGAGTCAATCGTTCTCGGGTTTTAAACAACCTACGAAGAATGACAGAAGCCAATAGTTTGGACACAATCGGAAGTAGACATATCCCCCGATAGTTGTTACAGAAACAACGTGAACCCTTTTTAAAGATAGGGACGACTATCGACTCATTCCATGATGTTGGGACACTTTCTTGCTCCCAAACCTTTGCAAACAACACAGTCAATTCCTTAGTCAGAAAGTCACCACCATCTTTAAAAAGAGCCGGAGGTAAGTCATCTGGGCCCGGTGATTTGTAACGTTTCAAGAGTTGAATAAATGAAATGGAACATTCAATTATATTCAAATTTAAGTAAACAATTAACACAACAGCGTTTTTCGATTGCGTTCGATTGAGAATGTCATTCTCATATTAGTAAGGCGTATTCAGATTTATCTCTAGTTGGTTTCCGCTGATTATCTTCCTTGCCTTTATCCTAAAGATCAGTAATTTCTGGCAGTAATATTCATTGAATCTCATTATAATATCACCATTAATTTCAGCAGTCAAATTACTTGCAATTTAGTTAATCCACTAATCACTACTCACCTAAGTTTGTTGTGGTATGAGGAAGCCAATTTCAAATTCTGGATATTTCATAAATTTATTTGAACATCATTGTAAAATATTTGTTCTTATATTGTCAAGAAACTGATTTATTTACTTTAAGTGAAGGAAAATTGGTCCCTTGGCTAAGAATGATCTTTCGAAATCATGTCTTTGTTCAATCTATATATGAACCATGGAGTTATACTTTGAGTACAGGTAACCGAGTTTTTCAATTGTTATTTTATATTCGTTGTAATTTTTAGATTCCCTTTTTATGGAATACTTCCGATCAAAATTTAGGAATCTCATCACTAAAATCTGACTTCATGATTTCAAATAGATTAATAGAATAGTGTATCTATAATATTTTAATAAGCGGAAAAATGGATTTCTAAAGATTGACAACAACGCCTAGATTTCATGGAGTTTAAACGAACTGAGAATGATAATATCCACAGTATACAATGAATTGTCTTGAATTGGATACACAGCTCTAGAATATTTAGGACAGTTTTACCATTCAGTATCACAAAAACTAAGAAGGTTTAAAAAGAGAAAGACATTTAAATTCACTTGGTATTGTTTAGTTAAATCTTCCCATTGATTTGTTAAGACTGCAATTGATCAGTCTCTTATTGGCATATGTGCATACTGAGTGTATTGCCTCGATATAGCCTTAATTCACAAGCATTATAATCAAAGATGAATAATGGCTAGCAGTGGAATCCAGGACGCGTGATTCATCCTATATGGGACTCGCCAGCTGGATGCTTGTGAATTAAGGCTATGTCGAAGCAATACACTCAGTATGCACATATGCCAATAAGAGACTGATCAATTGCAGTCCTAACAAATCAGTGGGAAGATTCAACCAAACAATAGCAAGTGAATTTAAACTTCACACCATTGCACAAGCAAGTAGCTATCGGGAATCAGTAGCTAAGTGAATAAAGCGATGGCGTTTGAAGCGAACGTTACAGGGTTCGATTTCCAGAGTGAACATCAACTCTTGAGATTCAGAAACGTCCAGCTAACGAGTCCCAAACAGGAGGAAACGCGCGTCCTGGATTCCAATTCTAGCCACTATCCATCTTTGCTGAGAAGGACATTTAGTTAATCTCACTGGGTTGTGACTGCAACTAATTGAAGAATTAAAGATGAAAAAGAATAAAATGTTAGATCATTACACCGCTCGCTTCTGTTATCAATGGATTTGAACGCTAACTAATAATATTTTTAAATACGAAAATCAGATCCATTTACAGTTGATTTCGAGAATTTTTATTAAGAACCAGAATTATAGTGTTTGTTGATCTCTGTGAATGGATTCGTTCCATCTACTTTAGACTTCATATCAAGCGGGTTACTGAACTAGGAAGACTGTCTTTTCTTTGCTGAAGTAGGTTTTTTTGGTTAGTCTTGTGATACAGAGACCAGCTTTTTTTATTTGAAGCTTTTCCTACTGTTCAATTCGCCATTTTATCCAAACTATATTTTAAAACTATTAGATATCTTTGTCATTAATTCAACAGAAAACATCGAAACATTTCTTTGAGAGTTGAAAATATTACTTTTTAGAGGAACTATCGTGGTAACCATTGAACCATTACTAATATTTCTGTGATTGATTTCACCAGAACCAATGACTGTGAATAAGAAGTTTACTAAATGGAACAATGTATCTTAGAAATATATTGAGTTATTTTCCTGGTGGCCTTTGATGAAATATACCATTTCCTATCTTTATTTCCCCATTTATTTGTAAAATTTTCATTGACCAGTTACACATTATATGAAAGATCGGTAAAACCGTAGCGCTAAAGTTTATCATGGTAACTTTACGTTTTCTGTCATCATTCTACTCATAAGTTGGAATATACTAAAAATGTATATTCCTGAATGAATATTCTTTTTTAATACCATCCAATTTATAGTCACCCTCATTTTATCCATAAATAGGTGATTATATTTCAGTATAAATTTTTAGATTCCATTTTAGGTCATTTGTTTTTACAACACCATACATAGTAAAAGAGACTATAAATGGTAAACCAAATAACATAAAAACGGACAAATAATATGCATATAAACTTCCCGATAAATTTGATCGTTCCAATATATATATAAATATATATGTTACATTTCACTAAAAATTTTCTCTTGAGTAAACAGAAATGCTGGTAATACATGTATGTAATAATCAATTATTTCAGTGGATAATAAAATCAAGATGTAGGTGCTACCAATCTCAGTGATGTCCACATGGGTATATTAATGCCCTTTATGATGCCATTTGAAGCCATTGATATTCCAAACTAATCTTTTTAAGTACGACGAGAAATTAAGTTAGTTGATAATTCATAGATAGAATATATGTCCATAAAAGGTGACAACTTGATTAATAATATAATAGAATGTCCTTTGCTAAGGGCTAGTTAAAAATCACTAATTTATCACTGCTTTAATACATCATGTATCTGAAGGAGAAAATAATTCTGCTGATCTCATAGGAATCTTTAAAGCTGAAGTCAATTTTAAGATAAATACAAATAAAATACAGCACCTCAGGACACACCATTAGATGTCATAGGCCCATATTAAAGTGGAAGGAACTCCGTTCCCTTAGTGGTTGAAGTAATAGGATTAATTGTCCTTCTTCTAATAGTCCCAAGATACCTAGACATGAGAATATAGTCTTGTAAGTATCACAAACTTTTTTCCTTTATATGTGTTTCAACAAGTCACGTTCTCTGCTATCAAATCGATAGAACTTGATAAAACTCAGTTTGTTTAAATCGTTTAGTGAACGAAATATGAAAATAAAATTGTAAGTTTCCGCGGTCACATTTTTTGTTTCATCTCTTTGTTTTTACTTACTCCATTGTATTCATTTCCTTATTTAAATGAAACGTTTCCCAATATACTTCCTTCATCACCAAGTGGCTGAATATCTAAGTCTATATGACAGGATAAAAAAGTGACGAAACTTAAGGTTAATATTTTTTGTATCAATTTGATATGAACCTCATTCTATATGACACGTATGAATTTTCGTTTAGTATGACATCTATATTCCCTGTATCATTTCAGGTGAATTAAATTCAGTATATGTTTTACGGTAGCTATTTACTTTTCCTAATCTTTGATATTTCTATATGCGTAAAAATTGGTACATAAATAGGTGTTTTTAGACGACTTGTTTTGACTACTTATCTTTTGGCTAGTCAATAAACCTTCATTTGGATTAATCTTTTGCTTTCACTTCTCGTCGTAGTAATTACAGTGGTTCTCGTTTTTTAAGGATAATCAGTAAGACACGGGACATGACAAAGATGACAGAGTCATAACACAAATATTTGCGATATTGTGCAAGTCAGTAAACTTTTTATGACAGTTTTTACTTAAAACTGTACTCATTCAAGGATATTGTTAATTGTTTTGTCAAGTATTGGATTCAACCTAAATAATAAAAACCTATGAGTAGCTGGCTGAGCTTCAATAACATTTTTAGAATGAAAAACATTTGAACTACTTTTTGAAACAAAATTTAGCTGTTTGAGAAACATATGGAATTAAATGGTGTTTGGCCAAACATATTAGATTTAGCTAACACTGTAAACCAACATTATTCAATGAAACCAGCTATTACGAAGTGAATTATTCTTGCTGTAAATAAACCAGAATAAAATATTCAATAATCAAACAATTTTCCTTTATTGTCCTTTATCTAATATCCTGTTTTATTTCTCATACAAATAGGATTCAACGATACTCTACAGTCATTAGTTAAACTAAAGGATTTTGAATTCGCTCTGCCTTATGATTATAGTATCCGTCATTTAAAAGAAATGCATGATGCCTTCTAAACTGCGAAATGTATTTGTAATGTGATGTCCTTTTTTCGTTTCGTCTTTTTTTCTTCATATCCAGTGATCAGTATATAAACTAACAAAGATCAACATTTTGTTGTTTATCATTTGTCTGAACCTGTAGGCATTTCTTATATATATCTACCTATAATATCTTATATATATCGTATTTGTAATATGTTTGTTTATTTCTTTTGTTGACGTATTATCTCACCTGTATTTTTTGTCGTCCATCATAAGCATTACAATTCATTTAACTCATGTATTAGCATTTGTTTATACGTATATTTAGAGCGTGTATTTTGATCTAATCAACCATATTATTGTCTACTTTTGATCGAAAAATGATGATTGTTGTATAATAAACAGATCTACTGCAGATATATTTTGAATTCTTTGTATTATGTTTACAAAAAGATTTCATGTTTATTTATTTCCATATTTTTGAGATTTAATCCGTATCTTGTTTTGTAATTATGAAAATTATTTCGATAATTCTCTCTATTCTGCTTTTTTCTGGTGAAATTGTCAGGCATAATAGTATAACGGACAGACGATTTTGATACTGTCTAAGGATTAATATTGTATGTTATGTATTGAAAAACTCATAGTGTTTTCTACTGAGTGATTTCATAGTTAGTGGATGCACTTGGTAAAACAGCACGAAAATCGACAAAGTATTGAATTGTTATAAGTCTGTCGGTACTATTACTAAACATGATAACAGCTGCGGAGGTTATTGGGGTATTTGGGTCATATAAACAACATGGAATCACTTACCTGTTAACAAATGTACTGAGTTACCAAGTTAACGTTTTCCACCAAGACTCAAAGCTATTTAATTCTACATCAAACGTAGTGCTAAAAGCATCGAACTTCAAAATAATGATTATCGAACATCTTGTTTTTCATCACATGACAAATGTAGAATCATTAACCGGTAAACACACCGTAAAGTACATCCCCACTGAGGTATTTATTTCCCACGTAAATCACTGTGTCCTTTATGGTATTAATGTCAACTATTTGTTTCGGACCTCGACAGGGCATAAATAAACTTTAAACGTTAAGATTTGTTTGTTTTTTTCACTTAAGTAATCATTTATTATTCCTCAAAGATGATGTATTTTTCACTGAGATTCCACTGATTATGATTCTTTAGTTTGACCTCTAAACTATTTTTCAACTCTAAACTTTAAGTTAGGTAATGAGATGAAATAAACTTGATAGCTAATTTATTAAAAATTTCATACATAGCTGTAACAAAACTACATATTTTTCTAGCGAATGTCGAATTAATGAAAACATTCTTGCTTCACTAAAGTCGGGTAGATGAAGTTTTGTGTCTCATAGTGATAACTTTAGCTTTGAGGTTCTAGATTGAGGAAAATGGGGAGAAACAACCGTTGCTTTTAAAGTTATCTTAAACCGTCAATAATCTTCAGTTTTTATAGATGAATTTATTCGTTAAAATGAACAACAGCAGTATACAGTTAGTAAAAAACTCACTTGTTTTTTATACGTTTTTTATGAATAGTTGTATATCAGGAGTTTGATATTTCCTTAAAAATGAAGTATAAATAGAAATTTCACAATATTGTGTGTTTTCCAAAAATCTGAGAAACTAATTCATCTCTATAATGGAGTCACCGTGTAATTGACATTGAGAACATAAATATTCAATACACATACCAATTAATTAATCAGGAACTGTGCATACTTTTTTTAATGCGATAAGCGTTTAAAGTGAAAGACGTAGTGTTTTAGTCCCAGTAGGAAAATAAACACGAAAGTGGATACATTCAGCTGACGAACCCCAAATTGAAAGAAACAGACTACTTGAATTATTATTTCGATAAAGAATATGATAAATAGTATTTAATTGTTTGAGCTGAAGGTTTTCGTTTATACAAAACCTAACCTTCTGTCATAGACAGTATCGGTCAAAAATCAATCTCATTTAAGAAACCATTCGAAACCAGGCAGCAATGGACAGTTGACTCGACATAGTACGACGCTCGTCGGAAATCACCCACGACCTTGACGGAAGTAGAACACAAGATTTACAGGTCTGATGACGAAAACTTAACCACTAGGACAGCATTTAATAGCCTAACCTTGTACCTCTATAGTACAAAAGAAACCTGATCAAAACTCTTCATTACCGAATACGTACTATATGTTCTACAGATATAGTGGAAGAAGAGCCAAACACCTTGCGTAATACTCTTAGGGAGAACCGATACCGTAGAAAGTTTATAATTAAATAAATGTTCACGAAGGTGAAAATAAGCGAAATACAAACGATGAGTAAGAAACACATGAATTGCAAGTATTATTATCAGCTGTCTAAAAGAATACAAGCTGACTATGCAGTATTTACTTTTCTCCCTATTTGCTTAGTTGAATCAGTTAAATATTATGAGTGTGCATCGTGACTAAATCTGTTCCCAAATGTTAATTGAACATTTATAGGTGAATAATATAAAAAACGTAGATATCTGAAGCAACTTAAAATTGTATAAAATATAAGTGAAACAAAAGCACAGAATCAGTTTAACTAATTACAAGAATACATAATCTTATGATGAAGCCCAATCAAATAATAAACAGAAATAATAGTATAACTAAATCAAATTGTTTCGTCTCTGATTCTATATAGTTTCTTTAATGAATTTTCATTTGCTCAAAAAAACATAAAACCGTTTTTAGAAATAAACATGGTTTTGCTAAAATATTGATGTGTTAACAATTACTGATAAGCTACTATCTATCTTTTTATGTGTGACCTTATTTTCAAAATGATGTACAAGAAATATGAATATTTTCTTTAATTATATGTTGCATACTACTTGTTTTCCTTGCAAACTATTGAATACTTTAGAATAATTACATTTTAAATATCTATTCTGAAATAGCGTACGTATCTAATAGAATTTAAACAGGCAAGTAAGAATATAAATCGTTTTCTTTATATTTCAATATAAAAGCACAACAAACCAGTGAGACTATAATTTTTATGAACGATCTTTGAGAGACTCCAAAGTGACCTTGATTGGGTTTGACTACTTACTAGGGTTGAATGAGGATTATAAAGTAGTTTAAAGTAAAAGGATTATGATTCGTAGTTGATGGTTAGAGTTGATAATTAGATTTACAGTTTTTCATCACGAATTGACATCAGCTAAAATGCCAAGACGCTACTCGGCCAAATGAGTGAGTGAATTTCGCGTCAAAAACTCAAGACTTGTTATGCTAAATCTGATTAGTTAGTCCATAAATTATAGTCTCGCTCAATAAACCTTCAACTAATATGAACATATTTGTGAAGGTTTGTATTTTTCTACTGTTGATGTTGAGAAATACAATTAATCATTCCATACATATAAGATTGCCTCCAATGTACTACGTAGTCATGAGTTTTAATAAAGCTGTATCATGTCTAGCAATGTGAACAAATCAAAGCTAAGATACAGGTACATTCAGCTGATGAGTACCAAAAAGGAACTTGTGTTCTATATTCTACTGCAACCCATAACTCAGCTTTACTTACTAAAAGATTCAATGATTGTTTTGATTATACCACAATGTGTGTATTTTAGACGTTTGCTTATAACGATATTACTCTTTATAACTTTCGGCTGTTAATAGCTGATGAGAAGCAGTAAAATAAATTGAATTCATTTCATTCTGCAAACTATGTTGTACTTGTTTCTTTTCTATACATCAAAGTAATTACATAAGTCTATGGATTTTTATCAGTCGCAAGGCACTTTTAGGGAACAATAAGCCAAGAATGTTATATTAAATCATTTAAAATTCATAAGTTATTTAGAAATAGTCTTCAGGTTTTTATTTACAAATAAGTGTATACACAAATTTCAACTTTTATATCATTTATTAAAAAGAATTTCATAACAATGTTTGAGAAATCTTATTAACTCTGGGATTCATGTAGTTCAAACATAATCTAATCAAGCCTTTTTACCAAAATAAGTTGCTGTAGAAAGATTCCTTATCAGATTGCAATTAGGTTATAATATTCTAATCTAACCGATTATTTGCTACAGTTAGTACTCCTTATAGTTTTTTTGCTGTCCTACAGACTTGACGAACTAAACTCCTTTCTTATTAGAACTACTCAATATCAAAAAGTTTCAACTATTTCATGAAAACTGATTTTATTTTCTGAAGCAGATTATTAATTACTAAATATAACCTTCTTAGCTAAATAAATAATATTTTTAATAAATCTGATTTAGATGTCATTTCAGTTTATTAGAATTTAGATAAATTCTATTTCGTCAGAACAATAAACATTCAAAATCATGACACTGTAGGTATTGCTTTTCATCGACTGATCAGGAATGATAAAAGTGCATATAAATGGCATTTTGAATATAACGATTGATTTGTCTCCAAATAAAGTACTTTTTTTATTAAAAAAAGTATATAGTAAAGAAACAGCAGACGACTTTAAAAGTTCAACCAAACTTGGTTAATAAATACTGTATGCCTAGCGTTAAAATTGAAATATTTGATTGATAACATTTCGAGTTTCGTAGAACTGTAATATCTTATATCTAAAATATACTTGTAGCGCATTCTAACACAGCTAGATAGCGTAGAATGTTCAGAGGAATAAAAGTTCGTACATTGAGTGGGATTTCTATCATTACCAACAATCACCTTTGTCTATAAACAGGTTAGATACAATAATAAAACTTTGTATTAACCAAAGCTCTATGATTGAGGAACTTAAGAATAAGTGACTAAAAAACTGATTCTTTTTCCTCATCGGTATAACCCTTTGTTAAATTATGATTCCAAGGCTTTTATTATTCATCAGTTTTAAAGAACTGTTGTGATTTTTATTTTTCAGCCTACATACAGTGAGAAATTAATACATCATGCTGATTAGTTTTACATGTGAGATTGTTTGATTGGTTTATTTAAGATTCAATGATCAAATTGAATTAATCGCAGAATTTTCAAGGGACTAATGTGATAATTAGATAGCATGTGATAATTTTTTTAAGAAATAAATAGTTGAACCATATATGTTTAACATTTACTTCGTTAGTAAAGTTATTTCCAGAGAGAATATGATCACTTTTTCGGTATATATCCGATTTATGATTGACTTTTAATTAAATTATTTTACATATGACGTCAATTTAGTGAACGATTCAAAACAGTAATTAGGCTTCAATATAGTGTAGATGTTAAGAAACGACTAGAATTACAGAACTTACAGACTTATAAAATTAACCAAGAAAATAATGTAGTAAAATGACACAGAGGTTTTCAACCAAAATGTAAGGTCTTGGAACAAGACAGATGTGTTGTGAACCAAACTAAATGCGAATTCCTCTCACTGATACGGCTATTTGCTATGACTGTAAAATAATTTAACATGCTACTTAATGAAGCGGAACTCATTATTCACTCAATAAATTTGAATAAATTGGATAAATAGTTAGTCAATAATCTGTGTATGGGATTTGCAAACTCAGTAAATTTACTGGCATAACCGAGAGATATAATTCATGATCCAATCATGCATTTATTTCAATCTTAATACCTTCCTCTGAACGATTGTGGGGTTCTTCTATTAGCTTTTTAGTGATTTTTATTGCTCCGTAAATGGTTGGTTGGAAGATCGATACACAAATTCATACTCTTCCAAAGTGTGACTATCGAGGTTCGTTTCAAGGACAAAATTCATGAGTTCTTCAAATTACACTTAGATAAGCTGTATTTTCGACCTACACTTTAGAAAAATCTGAAATAACTTAGTTTTTTTATTCCCATGTTATTGTTGTGACACAAACTAAATACTGGTTATTGCTTCTGATACGCTGTTTACTATAACTGCTTTGTTATACCTCTTAATGATAAACACTGCTACGGAATTTCGCGATCAACAGTCAAATTTCTCTGTAAAGTCAAAAAATACAACTGAAACCGGACGTCGGCAAGTATGCCTATGTTTTAACACCTGACGAAAAGTGAACATTCGGTTAGTATAGTTTCAGAACTGAAAACAGTCGTTAGTTCTTTATGATGGCCAGACAAACATCGGATGATCAGGTATTAATCTCCGTACTATATTGGTGAAAACTTGTTTATTTGTGGTTATCACAAGATTTCATCATAAACGTAAACGACCAGAGATCAAGACAAGAAGAATGAAATTACGTCTTGCTCTAGAATTCTAGCGACTATTTCAAATAATTTAATTTCCAACAAACTGGACTACCCAACATTGTTGAGCGGCTCTAAAACCAACTTATCCGGTCCTTGAGCTCTTCCCTGGTTAATTAAAGTGAGAGCTGGTTCGATTTTCTTCTTATGACGTAATTTATTTCGATTAAACCCATATATATATATTAATTGAATGGCAATTACGATATACATATTTCTCTTTTGTGTGTCTTCTGTTAACACCTGAAAACAACAGGGTTTATGTATGGATATTACAAATCATTTGGAAGGATGAGTTTAAAATGACAATTTGTAAAAGTACTGAAGTGTCTTTGCATTCTATGAGCCATTAGGAATCAACGATAGTGTTATATTTTGAAAACAAAGCGTAATTCTTCATTGTTTATCAAATCATTACAAATAATTAGTATTAATCAACAAGAATAGAGAATAGTGATAAAGCACCCAACGGTAAACAATCAAATAAATAGATTATTGTATAAAATATCATTATAATACATAGTAAGACAGAGAAACCAGATAATCAAATCTGTGGTATTAATTATAAGAAATGAATGAAATTGCAAAGGAGAATTTGTATCATTTTCTTATTGCGAAAAAAAACACAATTCATGCTGTATGTTTAATCTGATTATATTATCATTTGTTAATATTTTTCCTGATAAAAAAAGAAAATATTGACACATTGAATAGTTTGTTGATTTTGTTTCAATTTGATGGGCAAGTAGCTTTCTAAGGCACAGACCAATACAATCAATCATTTTCAGTAAGTAGAATTGATAAGATGTACACATACAGATACACAGGTGATTACATAGTCAAATTTGTATAATTTAAACAGTATACAATTGAGTGAATAGAAAATAAAATTACATGTTTAAATAATAATTGGATTCATAGAGAGTGTCATTAATTCACAAATGTTTTTTAAATCAATTTTTCTCCTCAAAACAGAAAAAAGACATTATGGCGCAACCAAATGAAAATAATCAGTAGTGATAGAGAATAAAATGTGATCAATAGTATGTGTATGCATTTAAAAGTTTGCAATTATGAATAGAATTACTGAAATAAAGTAGAACATCTCAGAGGTTGGAGTATTAAAGTTTGTCAGTCATATTACAATAAGTAAAAACAATAAAAATAATAGTAGTGATTAAACATGATAAAAGTAAAGTGGCAAAGAAATTAAGCACCAAAATTCATAATTAATCTATATTTGATGATTTATCAAACACCCCCTTCAAATGCTTTCACCAACTCCAGTACACGTGATACACGATGTTCACTTGGCGGATTAATCTAAACGATATGGTTGAAAAGAATAAATAAACACGATAAAGTCCAAATATAAAATCAATAAGTAATTTACAATAATGATTTTTTTAAATGTTTTTTCCCTGAAATAAAAAAGGGGAGATCAAATGAATGCCAGCAAGTTATGAACCATACAATTCATTTATGATGAAGCACCAATATTTTAGATAAAACTGAAAATTTAGATCATTAAATAATAATAGTAATAATAAAAGAAACAGATCTCTTGTTGAATTATCAAAACGGGAAAAGCAAAAATAGATCATTAGGAACATCATTCATATTTGACGGGAGGGTGATCATGATCAACAAGCATTTTCGAATCTGAACACCAAAGAATCAATATGTGTGAATCAAAGTGAAAGAGAAGTAATATGAACATTATGCTCAACATGCAGTGGTTCGATATAAACATATATTGATTAGTAATTAGATAATAGACTATGTTATGGTCTGGTCAATATGAGATCTAGGATCAGTGTGATGAACAAATACAACTAAATTGATGATCCTGACAACTTAATATATTAGCACTTCAAGACAGTTTTAGAAGTAATGGAATCGAGTGAAAATTGACGACTTATTTCAAATAAAAGTCAGTTTTATCCTATGAGAGTGCTTTAGAAAAAATGATATATCTTTTAGGTATAAACTAAAAAGTCATTATGAAGTTTGAATGTAAAGCAGTTTTGTATATGATTTTAAACAAAAATCAAGAGATGGTTAAGTACTTTTGCAATACAAATATATTCCGATCTAACTATTTTAAAAAGTTGTAAATAGTGAATAAAAAATCAAACACAGATGTTATGCTTGGTGAAAAGTGGTTCTTTATTACTTAGGACTTATGGAAATACCAATCAACCGGTCGTCACATTAAGTTGTCTTCGACGATCACGTTTTGTCCAGAAAACAGAAGTCTGAATTTATTGTAATATTTAGTCGGAGAACGAGGCAGCCATTGGTCACTACAACATAAGCTGATAAAACACTTGTATTTGTCTCTCTGTTCTAAACTACCAATTTATCTGTCAACATAGATAATTGGTACTTAGTTGATATTCATTCAGTGAACAAAAGTATATTATGACTAAATTCTGTAAAAGAGATTAGACGTTTTTAATGATGAATACAATAGTAACAATTGACAAAAGCATTATATTTAGACGATGTATATCTTTTTCATGAAATTATTTACAGTCTAACAGCTTCGTAAAGAAACACCACAGTCTAAGCAAAATATTTTGATTTTTTTACAATCAGTGAGTAGTCAGTGATTACAATAAGAGTCAATAAGTGACATAGAAGTTAAAGTTTACATTTTATGTCCATATATTAAAAGTTTACGAAAACGAGAAGTGTATCTCCTGGTAGAAGATCAACCCCTAAAAAGTCAGATAATGGAAGTGTCATCTTTAAAAATATGTCTACGATAAAGTTAAATAAAAATGGAGAAAGTTAACAAGCTTGACGAACACTACTTGAAGCAACTAATTTCGATGAAAGTTCGCCGTAAATTCTGATGACCAGCAGCGTTCGAGTGCAGTCTGTATAGGGTTAATGTACTTCTCTGGTACCGAACCTAATGATCAACAGAGTCGAACGCTACCTTAAGGTGAATACAACTATAGTCGGACATCGAGGGAGTAGTAGTGGGAGCTACATATGCTCGAAGGATAACTCATGCCGGTTCTTTATATTGATGAGGTCGAATGAACGACCGTAGGTGGATCGTATATGAGCTTGTCGGAGACACAACATACATTGATGGTACGAAATTCTAGAATCTTAGCTAAAAAGCCTGTTGTCCCATCTGACAATGTTTGAACATTAAAAGCTCCAACATGTAGTTTAGAACATGGTTTCAGAAGACTAAGAATAACATTTCGTTAAATTAAATCAATAGCAACGGTGGCGTGTGGTGATAAAAATATACGAGAATGGTTAGTCGTGGGAATAAAAATATTGTGCCGCCCATCACCAAATTCTTGAGTGCACATAAATTTGCGAATCACTGCATTTTCGTTTCTCCCTCCCAGTCCATGTCGTCCTATTATATCTTCATACCCTGTGTTGTCCATTTCGGATTGATTACAGGCTCTCATAGAACTGATCTTTATCGTCATCGTTAATATCATTGGTGGGTGCATAACATTGGATAACATTCATTGTGATCCCCTCCCTCTTTTTTTGAAGGATGCTTCGATAATTCGGGATCCGTCAGATTCCCATCCTACAAGTGCATTTCGTGCTTCTCTGGACAGCATTAGAGCAACTACCTGAGTGTGTGGAGCATTTTCATCTTCGTGACTGGAGTACAGTAGCATCTCCTATATCTAGCCATAGCTGTCCAACTTGGGTCCAATGGGTTTTGCTTATTCCGATTACTGCCAAGTTGTATCTCTTCATTTCCATTGCTATTTGACTGGTGTTCCCGGTCGCCCACATTGTCCGGACACTCAATGTACCTAAAAAGATTGTTGCTCTGGTTGTTAAAAGGGGCATCTTCATTGTGACTTCCGAAGAATCCTGGATTTCATCCTGAGATGTCATAATTCTTCCTTGAACTCCGAGCACAGAGTTTGAATGGTTTAGTTTGTTTATTTTGACTGGTATTTTTTTTAGCAAGGTTGTTTTCTACGGGATGAGGTTGCCAATCCCACCCCCAACCCTTCAACTTTACCCGGACTTGGGACCGGGAGTAGCCCTAGAAGAGCTATAGGCGGAGTTTTTCTCACCAATCCTCTACTCATTCACAAAAAAAAGATTGACATTCAATAACAACAAAGCTCAGTTCAACTCTGTTTCATTCATATGATTCATTTTATAATTTAATCGACTTAGACTAACTGTATCAAAACTGCAAGGTTTTTTTTGAAATCCAAAGGCACGTATAGTAAATTTAAAGTATGTTTGCATTTATTTTTTTATAATAAAATTACTATCAAATTACAAGTATTGTAATAAGATAGCTCACTTATGTGTGTATGTTAGTCCACAAACACCATGTAAACTGTGTAGATCTAGTTAACTGCATCATTATGCTAATTGATAAATTGGAATTTGATCATTTTTACAAATCTATGTAACCTAAAATTTCTAATTAACATTACCACATACTTGTAACAAGAAACTATATGTTTTTTATGCATATGTGTAGCACACAATTTGTGCATATATTGACATACATCACGTGATACGACTGATTACACAATAGACCACAACTATACACGTGGATTAAAGTTTATGTACATTGAATAAAAAAAGATCTGTTGAGTCAATGAGAAGAGTTTAGTAATTCTTTTTTTTGTAAAAAAAAATAAAAGGGGTGTGCATTTTTTTTGAAATAAGCTACGAATATAGAGAAATTTTTTTTTAACATACTAATTTCTTCTCCATTAAAACCCAATGTGAAATACTATTGTAAAGACTGATCAATAAATACGTCTCCATAATTCAGGATATTAAGATCATAAGTCCTTCTTGTTATGCTATACTCATTTATAATTATCTCTATTATGGATAATTATATATATATATATTCTCTTTATGAATTCTGTATTTAGTCAGTTAGAAAATAATCAGAGTAGAATTTAACACAGGTGGAAAAACCAATAACAGAGACAACGACAGTGATGATTATTATCTATTTATTTATTTAATTGTTTTAGGATTTTGTAAACATAATATGCTAAATCATTTGCATTGGTGGTTTGACTCTTTCTATTGATGTCTAAGACTGCAATTGATCAGTCTCCTAATAACATATGTGCACTCTGTGAGGATTGCCTCGATATAGCCTTAATTCACAAGTATTATAAGCATGGATGGATAGTGGCTAGCAGTATAATCCAGGAAGTGCGTTTCGTCGTAGCTATGTAGAGAAAGCAACGAAGTTTCGAACGAACGGGACTGGGTTTGAATCCCAGAATGAACATCAACTATGGAACGGAGGTTCATCCAGCTGACGAGCCCCGAATGGAGCGAAAAGCGCATCCTGGACTCCACTGCTGACTACAGTCTATTTCTGCTTACAATATACAAACTATTTATCTACTATGTATATTATGCATATGTATACATCGATGGAAGGTTGGGTTTCGTTACATAAGTAACACAATAAAAACCAAGTGACCACCAGAGTGTTAGAACACCGTCATACTTATCGCAGGCCAACAATCGTAGTGTTTCTTGAGATCAGGACTGCCTTTGATTCGTTGGACAGGACTGTTCTCTGGGATTGTCTTTTGAAGAAGGGTGTGCCTGAGAAGTTCATTAACATCTTAAAGGCCCTGTATACGAACACCTCAGGCAGAGTAAGGGCATACAACCACCTTTCTCCCTTGTTCCATTCGACCAGTGGGGTTAGGCAGGGTTGCCCAATCTCACCATTCCTCTTCAATTTTGCCATTGACGACATTCTGGAAACAGCTCTGATGGATGTAAGTAATGGCGGTGTGGATATGTTGCCTGGAGAACGACTTCTCGACCTCGAGTATGCGGATGATATTGTCTTACTGTGCGATAATGCCCAAGGCATGCAATCCGCATTTAATCAGTTGGCAATCAGTGTCCGCAGGTACGGCATGTGCTCTGCACCCTCCAAGTGCAAAGTACTTCTACAACACTGGCAGGATTCTCATCCTGCACTCACCCTGGGTGGTGAGCAGATTGAAGTAGTTGAGAAGTTCGTGTATCTAGGTAGCCACATAAGTGCTGGTGGTGGCGTGAGTGATGAGATCAATCAACGTATAGTGAAAGCCAGAGCGGCTTATGCCAATCTGGGCCGTCTTTGGCGCCTTCCTGATGTTAGTCTGGCTGTAAAAGGTCGGATCTACAACGCGTCGGTGAGAGCAGTTTTGCTCTATGCTTGTGAAACCTGGACTCTCCGAGTTGAGGATGTTAGACGTCTCTCTGTGTTCGATCATCGTTGTCTCCGAAGGATTGCTGACATTCAGTGGCAACACCATGTTAGTAATGCAGAG